CTAGTTGTGTTTCTATTGATTACTTTCTTAGGGTTTTATTCAAATCTGTCCTGACATTTTTCTATCAGACTCCAGCAAACCTTTCGCCATTTTTGGCAGCTAAATGCAGAACTTTTTGTTTTTATGATTATCTCTAAGTTTCTGTTATTTCAGACCAAAGAAATTCCCTGCCACTCAGACAACTATATCCCATGCAAAATAGCAAATCATAATGATGAAAATATAACCAACTGTTATCCAAAAGGCAACTGGACTTCTCCGGTTTCTTGAAGACATTTTGCTTCTAATTACAAAGGAAAATTTCTCAGGTTTCACCTTTCCAGCACCCATAATGCAGCTAATTCCAAAACAATTTCAGTAGGTCGCACCCTCGTGCACCTCCTGCATCTCATCAAAAAAACAATCCCAACACATCAGGACCTAATGACATCAATGACTAACCTGGGAAGTAGGGAAGGGGGTATTCATAGGTAGTTTCAGCTCATTAAGCAACTACAGACAGCTACAGTTTATAAGCTTGGCCACCCCATATTTCAGTCAGATTTGACAACGGTTCTTGAATGAGAAACAAAACGTCTTCAAGAAACCCAAAAAAAAAAAAAGTCCAGTTGCCTTCACCTGCTCCATTTTGATTACCATGACCTGGATGACTGAGATCCTTCATCAGCATAATCAATCATTCAAATAAACCCCCCTCTTTATGTTTTCTTCAGTTAAACTGGCCTCACTGCGTGTCTGCTCTGTCTTTACAAAGCAGCTGGGAGATCAGTGGCTAATGTAACAGAGCAGCAGATGTTGGTGTTATCCGTTTGAGCCATCCACACTCGTTACATAAGAGGATCTCACTGCAGGTAACAGGACGTCTGTGCTAGAGAGGACATGGAGCACAAAGATCAGAGATGTGACTCGGTGTTTAACACATGTTAACATTCAGGGAAGAGTGTAAAAGTGGATTAGCTGGTCGCATGAGAGATCTATTGGCCTTTCTATGCAAATTAATGGTGCTTTGCATCCACCTTAGCACCATCTGTACAGAAATTTGTCCAAATGTAAATACATTTTTGTTTTGAGCGAGTATTAATGAATGAACCTGCTTTATTCTGATTGAGAAGTCTTGCTTGGCTTTTTGTCTACAGTCGAACCTAATAAAGTTTTACTGAATTGAAAACAAATAATAAACTGTAGCTATTATTTTCAGGATATTTAAATTTTTTTATTTCTTTTTTTATATAATTGTGGTTTCCCAAGTCTGGATCTTCAGACATGTAGAACTTTGGGTGTCTGCTATTAAATGTGGTTAATATTATTGTCATTAATTATTCATATTTTTAATCAATTATCAGTATGTTGTTTGTTTAATAATAAACACTTAAGAATTTCAGTACCAGGAATTGTCTTGGAGAATATTCTTCCCTGTTTTTTTAAACCATCTCAAACTTCTGATTCAGAACAGACTGAATTTAATTACTGTAGTTGCATTTCATGACTTAGTTTTTTACAGTATTTTTTAAAACCTGGATGGAAATTATCGCTACAACTTCAAAGTTGATGGTTATAATCTTTTGACAGCACAAATACACACGATTAATAACTATGTGAGACAAATTCATGCAGTGTTATTTATTTTGCAGCTTATTACAGAGTTCCATCATAATTTTGTTTTACGTATGATATAATCCAGTGGAGCCAACGCCTTTAAATACATGACCACCCAACAGATTTGAAAGTGTCAGTGCACACTCAGACTCGAGACAATAGTCTCCATTCCTGGAGCTTCTAACATTTTCTGCTGTACACAACAGGATTGCATTTCAGACACCATCCCCCACCCCACCCCACCCCAGCCCTCATGCAAAAAGAAGAGTTTCATAGTGCAAGATGAGATACAAGATAAGAAGTGAAAGAGTACATTCTTGAAAAATGTCTACTTGCATAACAATGATTTCGCCTGTAATGTTCCACTGAATGACTCATGAATCAAGTGAAATGCACCATTGCATTGGAGTTTTTTTCACCCAAGTTGGCTGATGTCTCAATCATAAATCATAAAACAAGTTTACTAAATGTTTGAATACATTCCTTCTCTGTTAAATAAAACTAATCGACCATAAAAAATACATAAACTGCAATACATGCAAACTCTGCTAATGTTTCAAACATTGCCTGACATGCAAACTTCAATAATTTGCAATTTTTTCCTCTTGAGATTACTTAGTTAGTAAAGAAAATATTTTTTAAATTAACACATTTTGATCTCCACTTGCTAAAAAAAAGTTAAAAGTGTACAATTGTGCCAAAGTTTTCTTCCAGATGCCAAGAAATGACATCACCTGAAATAACCAAGTATGTCTTCATTTGGAGATAGCAAAGCTTGTTTTATGGTGATAATGATGTAACATGTTTATTTTTTGGACATTGAAAGCTTATTCTGTCCTGATACCTATGAATCATTTCAAGCAGGTTATGGATTCTGCCTGAAGACCTCATGAAACATTTATCATTATTCAAAGCATTGTGATTAATCATCTCTACGTGTCACAACAGGGACACAAACCAATAAAAACAAAATTAACTTCTGTTTTGCATTATAATTACTTTATCACTTCCAGGAAAGAAAGGATGAAATGTCATCTTGGATCAAAAAAATAAAAAGATTTACTTCCGCATGGTAAGCAGATAGTAAACTCATGATCTTGTGGAAATTGCATCAAACATGGTGTAACCCGGGTTAAAAAGATGCATAAGTAGTAAAAGATAAGTAAAGTCTAAGAGTATAAATATCAAAGAGTAAAATTCATTTGTTCAATTTTCTTGTATATTAAAAAGATCAAAGTTCATGTCAAATGAGTAAAAACATGTTTGCATTGTTTAAAATAAGTTTTCTTTCTTTTATTGTGAATTGCTTGTGAGAACTGTAATTTCCTACGGGGATATGGTCTGTGAAGGTAACACAGCGTGGGGAAGAAGAAAAAAAAGAGGGAAGAGAAGGAGAGAGCGCGAGGAGAGATGGTGGTGGTGCGTGAGTTACACGGAGTATCCCGAAGAGTTAGCTTGTTTTTAGGTACTAGTAATAAGTGTGTTTTGACTTTTTGAAAAGATAAGTCATAGTGTCGGTAAGCTAGTGACATAACATGTAAAGTTTCAGCGTGAGTCTGCTGGACTGTGTGTTTTGTTTACTGCGTCCGTGCATGCATTGAGTTAAAGTGAGGCTAACACAGCCATTAGCTAACAAGGACTACTGTAGACTGCCGTTTCGCTAAAGTGGTGGAACTTAAACAAGCTGCAGAGGATCGTTACTGGACTGGATAGCGACAGACAGACCCCAGATAGTCACTCTGAGTGCCCGCGTCACTCTGAGTACCTCTGGCAACGTGGGAAGCTAAAAACAAGTAGCTTGTGGAGCACGTGGAGATCACGGACCTTCCTCATCTTTGGCTACTGCGTTCAGAGCGGAGTGCTTCTGAAGGAGCGGAAGACAACCTGTTGCCTGGAGTAATCTGGTGGGAATTGCACGTTTCACAAGGTACTGAGTTTATTTATTTATTTTTGCTCGTTGAGTGAAGAACTTTCGGTTTGGAGATCGTTTTGGATTTATACTGGAGCAATACAGGCCTGCAACGTAGGGTTTATCTCTGCCGGCTTTAAGTTTAGTTTGGGACTATAATTGTTTTATCACTGGTGGTTTATACTGTGTATGTGGGGATTCTGTGTACACTGGGTAAATTGCTGTGGGTGTTTTTGCTTTGCCTGAATACTGAAACATGCCATATTATTAATTTATTGTTTTCATTGTTTGGTAAATTAAAGGAGGGTTACATTGCTCTACTTTACATGGTGTATGATATGATTTACTGCACTGTAGACACTAGTGTTCATTTTCGCGTGTAGTGCCACTGTTAAGGAATAAGCTTCATTGATCCCAGACACAAAAGAGAAGTTAATTTAAGAATATCGTACGAGAGTACACTAGAAAAAAGAACCCAAAGCCCATTTATTTAATGGTATTGAGTAAATGAGGGCTACAATGATAAAACAACATTCTCAACTTTCATGTATAAAGTGGGAAATTAACTTTACGCATCACAAAACTGAACTTTGCCCTAAGTAGAATGACGTTTAATTATTTTTTTATGCAATAGTCACGTCAGTCTCGCTGAACGTGAACTGGTTCTAATCATGCTGAAGCACCCGGATAATGTGGTAGGAAACTGACTTCATCTGCATGTAAACAGCTCAGTCGAGCTGATATTGGCAACTTGCAGAAGTGACAAGACTGCGTAAGCACTTGTCTGTTGATATCATCAACTCAAAGTAACATGAAACCATCAAACATTTGTTGTCCATTCCTTTGGCCATTGTGCATATTCTGTTTTAACTTTGCTTCACTCCCACCAGTGCTTGTTTACTATTTGTGTTGCTGCCATGAACCAGAAGAATGCCAACTGTACCGGAGTGGAACAAACTTTATTTGAGAAATTGGTTTTCTAAACTAGGATAAAGGCTCCCAGTTTATTACGTTATATTGATGGAGATGAGCATGTAAACTTACTGATGCACTGAGCTATTTTATTCTAATGGAACTAGACCCATGCCAGAATTGTACTAAACGTGCTGTTCGTAATATTGATTAATTTGTGTTGTGAATCAAGGTACTGGATCAAATAAAATAAGTAAAATAATAATATGTTTTGAGAGATGGGTGCACTGGGATAAACATTTAAAGCATCAAACATAAATGTTAAACCCACCTTATTTGCATTAAGCTGTAGGCTTTACATTTTTGCATATTTAGCTCTTCATTAATGTTATGTTGATGTTTTACAAACTTGAGACACTTCGATTACTGCTTATTAGCCTGGTATGACACCCAGATGAACAATTTAGTCTGCCAGAACAGGACAAGTAATTAAAAAAAAAAAGAAAAGATGCTTCTAATTCTTTATTCTAGCAACTGATTTCCAGAATGAGATCAAAGTGCATCCAGATCATTCTTCCTCCTCTCAGTGAGCTTTATAATGTGGATAAATCCTGAGCCAGTGCAGCAGCAGCAGCATGTATGCCACCCTGAAGCAAAGAAGGTCCAAGAATAGTTGAGTTCAGTCCAATGAAATAAAAAAAACCAAGAAAATCACAACAAATCTAACAGTTTTTAGGACATTTTTGTAATTAAGGAGCATCTTACCTGTCTGTTATGTGCCGCTTGGTGGTGCAGATGAGTATGTTGAGGAAAAATAGTCCAAAATATTTTGTGACCAGCAAAAGCCCGTACACAAACTCAGGAGCCTCCCTAAGTAACAACTTGCGCCTGGATGAAAAAAGAAACACATTTTTCTTTTAGAGTTGTAAAATGCCTGTGAAGCTTTTGCAGCTACTTTTATTTATCATCAAGAAGCAAATTAATTGTTTTTATTGCCAGATAGCTCATTGTGTCCAGAAAATTTCCAGGAATGTTATGCTGATGAAAACACATAAAAATGGCAGCTCGTCTGAAGTTCTAGGGAGTCGGTTTGACATATTTTGCTTTAGGTCGGTGTGATCATTGCTTTATGTTGATTTAAAACTATGAAAACAAAGACAGTTTCATTTTTATCTGAGTAAACTCACTTGGGTCAGTGTTTTACCTTTGCCTGCTCTGGAGGAGAGCATAAAAGGACACGACGAGTGGCAGAAGCAGGTTGGACAGCATGATAACAGGAAGTCCAAACATGCTTAAATAAGATGTCACATGACCCAAAAGAACTGAAAAACAAATGGTAACAGACAGAATAAATTAAATGAATCTGTTTTAACAAACTTCATATAAACAGATGTTAAATATAAGATGGGACAAAAAAGAAATAAAAGAAATGTGGAGATTTTGTCTCAAAAATAAAAATTAAAATACTCAACTTATTTCTTCCATCAAAAAAGAAAAAAAAGAGATTTTTTTCCCAGATTTTGTCTAGTAAAAATAAATGTTCTTTTTTAGACTAGGGAATGTTTCCATATTTCACTGTCTTCTTAGATTTAATTTATTTAAAAATATCCAGTTATTCAAATCCCAAAAAGATAAAAGCTAAGTAGAAATCTTTTTCACAGTGTAACATACCAAAAGGGTCAATTTTCACCTATATATTGATCAACATAATAACCTTTCATTTACAGCATAAATCCACTTTTTATATGGCCTTCTAAATCCTGAACACTGAACAGAATATTCTAAAGAAAGTTCTGTTCAGTGTGTGTTTACATACAGAAGACAAAACATCCAGACAAACATTTTCTCCCAAGGTCCTACACTCTCTGCAGGAAAGCCAGACGTCAACATTCTTCAGTCTGAATAAGTCAAGACTCCATGATTTTACAGTTATAAGTTAAATAATCATATGTAATGAATGAACAAGATGTTTAATTCAAATGTCTGAATAACCTGTGCTTAAATCAAATCAAATCAAATCAACTTTATTTATCTAGCGCTTATCATACAAAAAAACTGCTACTCAAAGTGCTTCACAGATTAAAATAGCCCCATAGATCCCATTAGATCCCATATTCCCATCCCAGCCCCCCCCGACCCCCACCCCCCCCCCCCGGTGTAAAACAATTGACAATTACACTTCCCCTCCTGCAACCAATTTCCAAGGTGACCATACACTCACCCACACACTCGCACACACACACGCGCACACACACACACACACACACACACACACGTGAACAACAGAGTAAACAATAGGCTGAGTTCAGATGGGTCAAGTAATGGACGACACATCATCAGCAGAGCCATCTGCCTCGATAGCGACAGATCCACGGCAGCAGCCAAGACACCGGCCCATGACGCCCAGGGAGGGAAGGCGAAGACCCCCACCACTGCCCGGGCACTACCCGAGGAGCGCCTCGGCCACCGCCGCCGACCTCTAGCCCCAAGGCAGAGGGCTCTGCAGAGGAAACACTGGGGGATTAAAATATATAACATGTAAAATAACAAAAGCTAATATGGATAGAAAGTAACTGATATAAAGTGGTTATAAAGATAGTACAAGAAAACATAATCATATAAAAACACTAAGATGTAAATAAAATAATAAAATTAAGTAAAAGAGATAATGTTTATGTTTATGTTTATTCATTTCGCAGACGCTTTTATCCAAAGCGACGTACAATTTTTATAACCTATAGGGCATGTTGTGATCTGTGGGGGAAACCGGAGTACCCGGAGGAAACCCACGCATGCATGGGGAGAACACGCAACTCCACGCAGAAAGGTGAGTTTTGAACCTGCGACCTTCGTGCTGCGAGGCAACAGTGCTAACCACTGCGCCACCATGCAGCCCAGATAAATAGGTGTATATATATAAATAAACAAATATGACAAGCGATACAGTTAAACAGACTAGATAATTAGTAATCAGTTAAAAGCTAAGCTAAAAGGTGGGTCTTGAGCCTATTCTTAAAAGCCTGGACATTCCCTTCGGCCCTGAGGTCCTCCTGCAGCCTGTTCCAAAGGCGAGAGCCGTAATTCTTGAAGGCTGCCTCGCTGTGGGTGTGTGTCTTAACTTTAGGGATAACTAGGAGACGGCTGCCAGAGGAGCACAGAGACTGCGAGGGTTTATATAGTAAAAGCAGTTCTGAAAGATAAGAAAGCCTGAGACCATTAAGACACTTAAAAACCATTAAAAGAACCTTAAAATTGATCCTGAAACATACGGGGAGCCAGTGCAGTGATTCTAAAACCAGAGTGATGTGCTCCCGCTTCATGGTCTTCATCAGGACACGTGCTGCTGAGTTTTGTAAAAGTTGTAAACCTGACATGCTCTTTTTGGGAAGACCAGAAAGCAGGGCATTGCAGTAATCAATTCTACTGGTTATAAAAGCATGCATCAGTGTCTCCGTATTGGCCCGAGAGAGAATGGGGCGGACTCTGGCGATATTCTCACGATGGTGCAAACCTATTTTTGTGATGTTTTTAATGTGGGGGATAAGAGTTGAAAATAACACCCAGATTCTTCACTTGTAGTGATGGATAAAAATACATTGATTGTAATTTAGGTAAAAGTTTCTCTCTCTGGCTTTCCGGACCGATAACTAAAACTTCAGTTTTGCCTTGGTTGAGCTGGAGAAAGTTTTCAGTCATCTATGATTTAATATCTAAAATGCAGTTAAAAAGTGTATCCATATACATAATATGGATATAAACAGGAATAACCTGTGCTTAAATCAATGCATTTGAAATGAACATTGGTCTTACAATGATCCATTTATATCACAAATCACTATGTGTTTGATTTAACAAGTTAATCATTGTTTACACTCATACACATTACAATAAGATACATATTAAGGTTAAAAACATCTTTGTATCTGCAAGAAGGCGTGACTTTCTGAGGAATGTTTTGGTAACGCCTTCCAGACATGGCACATTCTGATTTGCCAGAATACACCAGAAATCATAACAAAGTAGTTTAATAAAACAAGATTTACTTCCCGATTAAGGCTGTTTCAACATTTTTCATATTCAGAATTTTATACTTAATTTTCTTATCTACACATTAAAATTAACATGTGACACAAACATTTGTTTCTTTCTTTCAACATTAAAGGGATACTAGGCAGTTTTGCTTGCGCCCCCAGTGTTCGTTGTTAATTCACTGTGGTTAAACTGAAAATGAAACTTTTCTCCTCACTGTGAGTTTGTCTTTATAACACCTTAATCTAACTGCTGAAATGTCTCCTCAGCTTTTCTTAATTTCTACAGAAGCGGTTCATCACTAAGTCAAACAAATCAACTGTGTTTATGATCTAAAACATGCCGGAAACGTGCCGTAACAGATTCACCATGTCAGCTCCACTCCACTCTACACTCCCAGTCCACAGAAAAAGTTGCCTTGTATCCATTTAAAACACAGTCTGCTTGTTTGTACAATGTAGTGAAAAGTAAACATCTTTAACCAGTTTTCTTACTTTTTTCTGCTTGATTGCTGTGTTTCTTACAAAACCAAGTGCTATTTCAGTTTTTAGCATATGTGTCAATGTGGTTTGATACCTTTGGACTAGAGGTATCTTTCAGTTTGTTTATTTTCTGTTTCCTCCCTGTTGAAGCAGCACTGTCACATCTCAGCACATATTTCATTTTTTGACATGTTTTTCAGCTGGGGCCTTTCCATGCATGTTTTTATTTCAACTGCCCTACTTCTGAATCCAGATTGCATCTCTGTGACAAAGCAGTTAAGTGTCAGCTGCAGAGGCTTCCAGCCCATTTCTACATAAGTTAGAAGAAACTGCTGATGATAGTTGTTTAACATATGTTTGAGCAACCCTACCGTTTTTTACAACTTCAAAATGAAGAGGAGGATCTTTGGTGTTTTCTGGATCGGTGGAGTCGACCATCTGCTTGGATCTGCAGTCTGTGAAGGATGTCAGTGCGCTGGCCTGATTTTCCCTCCTCATTTCTTCTTCTTCCACTCTGGTGGTCTCCAAATACTTCAGGGCATTAGTTGGGTCATAGCTTGGGGATCCTTCAGACACGCTCATCACACAAGAAACAAGATCTAAACCAAGATAAAGACATGAAGATTAGGAGATTATGTGCGAGACCAAAATTACACATTTTTATTTGTTCGTCTTACACACCTTTACTCCAAAGGAACTGAATGCAGTCTTTGTAACCAGAGTCAAAAGCTTGTTCTAGAGGCTGCAGAGAAAAAAGTCAACCTTCACACCCACATATTATCCCTAACTGACACTCTCCGGGCATTAGGCCCCAATACAAGCATGAGTGCTTTAAACTTTTGAATTAGGAAGAGTTAGTTATTTGGTTTTTGAGTGCTCTTCCACCCAAAGCTCAATGTGCAAAGAATCCTAGGACTTTGACCATTATCATATTTAGAGTGATCCCAGTATACATTGATGATTACGACAACTCTTAAGATGACATGTTTGATACAAATCATTAAAAACCTCACCCTATACTTTCCTAAAAGATGCATGCAAGACAGATAAAATCAGTTAAAAGTTTAACCTTTGGGCCATAAATAAAATATAACATCTGTTTGTCTTTTTTAGTACACATGCTAGAAAAAAAAGGCTTAAAATCCACCTAGAAAGAAAGAAAAAACTTTATTTTGGTACATACAGGAAATCCATTGGTACAGTGACATGCCTAAGAGGAAACTTGGAAAATTAGAATATGGTGCAAAAGTTCATTTATTTCAGTCATTCAGCTTAGACTGAGAGGCCATCTAAAGGCCCAGGAGCCCTTTGCAGGTCTTTTGGATTCATTAGCTGAGTGTGACACATGGAGCCTAGAATATTGAACCTTTTGACGATTGTCTGAGATTTCGAATTTGGGGTTTTCATCAGTTGTAAGACATAATCATCACTTATATAACAAATTTGATTGGGGTTTAACTAGGCCACACCACTCACCATCAGACATCTGTCTCAGTGACCTATTGGTTTGAGTGTTGGGACTGGGAAATCAGGGTTCAAACACTGGTCATGTCACACCAATGATTTTAAAAATGGGACCCAATGCCTCCATGCTTGACACTCAGCTTTAAGGGGTTGGATTGAGGAGTAAACCACCAAATAATTCCCGAGTGCAATCACTGCTGCAGCTCACCACTCCTCACGAACATGGGTCAAATGTGGAGATGTAATTTCACTAGCATATGATTATGAATGATGGGACTTTGACTTTAAATAAAGGATTGTGATATCTGGCTTTGCATTTGATGAGTCTATATAGTGTCACCTTTTAAATTCCATTAATCCTTCCATTTTCTATACCTGCTTGTCCATGCAAGGTCGGGGGGGGGGGGGGGGGGGGGTTCTATCTTTAGCTGTCTTCGGGCAAACAGGCAGGGTGCACCTAGGACAGGCTGCCAGTCCATCGCAGGGCACCTTTTCAGTTGAATTACTGAACTAAATGGACTTTTGTGCCATCGTCCAACATTTCAAACTTCATGTGTTCATCATTTAACAGCCTAAATGGTGCTTCTGGTTTTTGGTACAATTTAAAAAAGTAAAAGCGCAACATAAAAGATACAGATTTAGATACATAAAATGGGAATCATCATGTATCTGACCTCCAGTCTAAAGGGGTAAAGGGCGCTGATCATTCTCCTGCAGTTGTCCCTGTTGCCCTTGATCATAACTCCATTGATTTCCATCTCTATTGTACAAGGCGGGCCTGGGGGACAGATGTCAGCGTCTCCAGAAAATGGACACACAGACAGCGTGCTATTAGATGACTCAGGCATTCTGGGCAGAAAGCCGCTCACACCACCATCCATGCAGCGCTGTTGGGTAAGAATACAAACAAAACATGGATTACACAGAATGCTGGAGATAAGTCATGAAAAGATTCTGAGGATACTCACTTCTCCATTAAAGAATGGAGACAGAAAGCCACAATATCCAGACAGATAGCAGCTGCACAGCAGAGCCTAAAGATAATAAACACACATCAGACAGTAAACTTGATACACCACATGGCCAAAGAGTTGATCTGTGGAATATTTTACTGACTTTTTGTACAGCGTTCTATGACATTCAATTCATGACATTTAATTTGTTACAGAAGTCCATTCACTTTCCTCAGAAACCTTGTATGGTAGAGATGAACCACTGAAGCCTATCAAAGGGGTTAAAGAACAAGTTCACAAAATCCATCTGCAGTGGTCTTTAGTTTGTTGTTGTTGTTGAGTCTTTATTTTGAACACATTAAAAAAAACAGCACATACAAATAAAGGAAGAAAATAGACAGAAAAAAAAACAAATAATAAACAAACAAAAAAGAAACACACTACAAATAATGTTCAAAAAGGAGCAGGAAGAAGTTTAAGCTTATTTAATCCCACCCCCTTTCCACTCTAACAATTAATAGCCTACAGACATTCCTCCTTATAGTTTCAGTATATATGACCTGTATATTTTTAAGAACATAGATACCCACCGCAACATACCCGTGCACAATTATGTCAACGAAAATATTGTACAAGATCATCAATTCTCAACCTCCTTGTACTCTGCAAAAACCAAATCCTTAAACTGCTTTTTAAATTGCCTCATGCTTGGACATTGCTTCATATCTGCACTAAAACTGTTCCACAGCTTCACTCCACACACAGAAATGCAAAAACTTTTTAATGTTGTGCAGATACAAGGATATTTTAAGTTAAATTCACCCCTCAAATTGTATCCCTCTTCCCTTTTAGAAAATAATTTTAGAATGTTGTCAGGAAGTAGGTTATTTATTGCTTTATACATAATCTGTGCCGTGATAAAATGCACCAGATCTGTAAATTTTTTAATTTTAGATTTTAAGAACAGTGGATTGGTATGATCTTTGCAGCCAGTTTTATGAATTATTCTAATGGCCCTTTTTTGTAATATAGAGAACGATGATAATGAACATTTGTAAGTATTGCCCCAAACCTCTGCACAATAGTACAAATGTGGTGCAATCATGGAGCAATATAGAATGTGGAGTGATTTGTGGTCCAGAATGTGTTTTACTTTACTCAAAATTGATATACTTCTTGAAATTTTATTATGGATATGATTCATATGTGACTTCCAATTTAATTTATTGTCTATACTTACACGTAGGAACTTATGTTCAAATACTTTTTCAATTTCCACATCATCTACATTGATCTGCACTTGTTCATTTCTAAGGGAATTTCCAAATAAATTTAGTTTTGTTTTACTAAATTTAATGACAGTTTATTACTGTCAAACCATTTTTCGATTTTGTCCATTTCTAAAGTAATTGTATTCAGCAGCTCCCCCAGATTTCCATTGGAACAAAAAATATTTGTATCATCAGCAAATAATACCAATTTCAATATATCAGAAGCCTTGTAAATGCCATTTATATAAAGAATAAATAATTTTGGACCCAGTACAGAGCCTTGTGGAACACCACAAGCAATGTCCATGCATGATAAAAATATGTGCCCATCTTTACAAATTGTTTCCTGTCACTTAAATGACTTTTTCACCCATTGCAGTACAGCCCCCCGTATCCCATACCGTTCCAGTTTATTAATTAATATGTCATGATTAATTGTGTCAAATGCCTTTTTGAGATCCAGAAATAATCTGGCTGCAAATTGTTTCCGTTCTATAGCATTTGTGATCTTCTCAATTGATTCAATTAATGCCAGTGATGTTTATCTTTTTGATCTGAATCCATATTGGCTTTCAGATATTAGTTTATATTTATCTAAGAATTTGTCTAATTGTTTGTTAAACAAATTTTCCAGGATTTGGGTGAATTGTGGTTTTAACGAAACAGGCCTGTAATTTGTGAATTGGTGTCTATCCCCAGTTTTATACACTGGCACTACTTTAGCTATTTTCATTTTGTTTGGAACTTTTCCAGTCTGAAATGATAAGTTGCAAATGTGTGTTAAAGGTCTTACAATTCCTTCTATTACCTTCTTTACTGTTTTTATGTCAATATCATTACAATCCGAAGATGTTTTGGATTTCCACATGTGTACAATATCCATTATATCATTTTCTTCTACTGCTGTGAGGAACATAGAATTGGGGTTCCTATCGATTAGGCACTCACTACATTTTACTGTTGGCTCAGGAATTTGTTTAGCCAGATTTGGTTCAATATATACAAAATAATGATTAAAACTGTTGACCACCTCTTTAGTGTTTTCCATAATATTTCCATTGTCTATAAAATATTGCGGATAAGTTTGTTTTCCCGAATTATTTTTAATGATACTATTTATAATCTCCCATGTTCCCTTCATACTATGTTTATTGTTGATCAATGTTTTATTATAATAATCATTAAATGAATGCCTTGTGAGTTGATCTCTTTGGAAAAAAGCTCTGGCGTTCAACTGAGCCAGAGCAGAGAGGAGCAGAAGGCGTAGGTTTTGGAGTCTGGACATCGTGGACACCTCTGATTGGCTAGCAGCAACATGATTCTAGTAAGTAAGTAAGTAAGTAACTTTATTTCTATAGCACCTCTCACAGACAAAAAGGTCACAAAGTGCTTCACAAGTTAAAAGGCAACAACATATAAATACAGTAAAATACAGCCACAATATACATAGTGTCAAATAAAACCAATCCGAATGAGACTAAGTTTAAAATGCCTGGAGAAACAAATGGGTTTTAAGATTGCTCTTAAAAACATCAACTGAGTCGATTGAGCGTAAAGACAGAGGTAGCTCATTCCAGAGCCTAGGAGCGACGGCCTGGAATGAGCGATCTCCTCGTGTCCTGAACTGCGTACGTGGGACCATTAAAAGGTTTTGATCCAGTGATCTCAGCCTGCGAGAAGGCGTGTAAGGGCAGAGCATGTCTCGAACATACAATGGAGCCAGACCATGCAGCGCTCTGAAAGTCAGCACAAGAATTTTAAAATTGATGCGAAATGTGATTGGAAGCCAATGAAGAGCTTTTAAAATGGGGGTAATGTGGGCCCTTCTGTTGTCACGGGTCAGAATTCTAGCTGCACAATTATGGACTAGTTGTAAGCGGGGCAGCTCTTTTTTGTTTAGACAAGAAAATAAACTATTACAGTAGTCTAAACGGGATGATGTAAACGCGTGAATAATCAACTCAAGATCAACTTTAGACACCATTTTTCTGAGTTTAGAAATTTGTCTCAAGTGGTAAAATCAGTTTCTAGTTAACTGCTTTGAGTGATGTTCAAGAGACATTCCCTTGTCAAAGAAAACTCCAAGGTTTCTAAGGGTAGGTTTTACAGACAAACTCAGATCACCTAACTGCTGGTGAATCCCTGGAACAGCATCATCGGGGGCAATCACCAGTACTTCAGTTTTGTCTGAGTTCAGCCGTAAGGCATTTGCACCGAGCCACTGTTTAATTCGCTCAAAACAAGATAATAGAGAATGCAATTTTTTAACCTCAGAAGGCTTGAATGAACAATACAGCTGAAGATCATCAGCAAAGAGATGATAGGAAACATCATCGGCAAACTCCTGGATTAGGTTTCCCAAAGGAAGGATGTACAACAAGAACAAAACCGGGCCCAAAACTGAGCCCTGGGGTACTCCACACCGTAGATCAGTTGGGTCAGACAGGATCTGGTTGACTGAGACACTTAGGCTTCTCCCGGATAAATAGGATGTAAACCACGCCAGGACAGAACCTGACAACCCAACCAACTCGCGGAGCCTACTCAGCAAGATCACATGGTTAACCGTGTCGAATGCGGACGAAAGGTCTAGTAAAACTAGGACCGTGCATTTCCCAGAGTCTGCGGACATCAAGATGTCATTGGACACTTTAAGCAGCGCAGTTTCCGTAGAGTGGTGCTTACGGAAACCGGACTGAAACCTGTCAAAGATATTGCGATCCTGTAAGAAGGAAACCAGTTGTTCAGATACCACTTTCTCTAAGACTTTAGACAGGAAAGGGAGTTTTGATATCGGTCTAAAATTTTTAGGATCTGTTGGATCCAGATTAGATTTTTTGAGTAGGGGTTCCACAAAAGCATGTTTAAAACAGCTAGGGAAAACGCCAGAAGAAAGGGACAGGTTAAACATTCTGGTAACCCAGGGACCAATGGCATCAAATACTTTTGAAAGGAGTTTACAAGGTAAGACATCAGCCAGGCAAAAAGAGGGCTTCATTGTGGTTACCAAAGCTAAAATATCATCCTGTGTTACAGGTGAGAAAGAGGACCACGCATGCGCAGGAAGTTCATCAATATCATCATTACATGACTGAAAAGATGGGAGTTTGTCTTTGATATTTTGAATTTTATCAACAAAGTAATTAAGGAATTTGTTTGCATCTGCTTTGTTGAAAACAGGTGTAAGAGGCGCAGCAGGAGCCACAATAGAGCTAATAGTGTCAAATAAAACTTGTGGTTTTTTCTTGTTTTGGATAATCAGTTTGCGGAAGTATTCAGACCTGGATTTTTTTATCAGCTCATTTAGAGAAAGCATAAGGTCCTTAAGGTACAGCCTATGGACCTCGAGTTTAGTGGACTTCCACAGGCGTTCCGTTTTCCTGCACAGTCTTTTTAAGTTCTGAATGCTGTCATTTATCCAAGGAGAAAATGGTTTCCGAGTTACCCTGTTAGATTTAAAAGGAGCAACCACATCCAAAATGGATTTACAGCGACTATTTAGGCTGTGAATAAGGCTGTCCACATCCTGAGATTCCAAAAACAAATTGGAGTCAAACATCTCAATGAATCTAGCTGCTGTATTCTCTGAAATAAGGCGCCTTTGTGGGATGACCACAGAAGGCGTAGACTCAAGATTAAAGTGTAAATCAAATAAAACACAGATATGGTCACTCATGTGGACATCCTTCACACAAAGATTGGAAATATTCAGATCAAGGGAAAACACAAGGTCTAGAGTATGGCCTTTTTGATGGGTGGGGCCAGAAACATGCTGCTCAAAATTGAAAGATTCAGTCATTGTTAAAAGTTCCACTGCTGGGCCAGAAGTGCTGTCATCAATATGAATATTAAAATCTCCCAGAATTAAAACATTTTCCAGCTTTATGATAGAAGATAAAAAATCACTAAAATCCTTAAGAAAAGCTGTGGCTGGTCCAGGTGGGGGATAAATCAGCACACAGTAAAATGGAAAAGATGAACCAATCTTGATCGTCTGTGATTAAAAGAAGTAAAAGCTTGAGTGTTTAACACTTTGCAGATAAAAGTCTCCTTAAAAACAACTGCAAGACCTCCTCCGCGGCGGGAGGGGCGAGGCATCCCAAAAACAGCGCAGCCAGCAGGGCAGAGTTCGTTGAGATGAATATATTCACCTTCTCTCTGCCATGTCTCAGTAAAGAACATAAAATCCAGAGTTTTACTGGAGAAAAGTTCATTCAAGGAGAATGATTTATTCGCAATAGAGCGAGCATTAAACAGGCCAAACCGGCAGGAGAGAGCTGTCAAAGGCTTAGGAGCTGAATTCAGCAGGATCGGTCGTAAGCAGGAGACGCGATCACGTGATCTCCAGCGTACCCGGGAAGGCATCAGCTGATCCACCGGTGTAAACACAGGGCTGCAAGGTAACAGCACATCCAAGTCAGAAAACCAACTCCGCACCGGGTCTAGCACTGACTCTGTTTACACAGTAACATTGATGTTTTATCTCCACAAGTAACACAAGTCTGAAAGAATTCTGCAGTGTTGTGGAGTTGCTAATGCTAACGGTTAGCTTCTATTAGCCGAGACACGCTCTGCTTTCTGATGGATGCTAAATCAATAACAGCCATCCTTGTCACAAACCAAGATGGGTGAGTCCATGAATGCTACCTGCAAAGATCTGACTGGCTTTTTTAATTCAAGCATTTCCCTGTCCATTTTCTATCAGTGGCTAATGCAGGAAATAGGGGTAAAATACTCTTTCTATGTTTAGCCTGCATCTGAAACCCACAGTGACCAGTCAAGTTTCAATACTAACAAGTAAAAAACTTTTTCTCTGTCTTTAAAACTTGGAGTCTGAAAATCTGATGATTCAGTATAATAAACTTTTAGCTCATCTTTTTGGTACAAGTATTTATGAATGTAAACATGGACCAGCATGACTGATGCATCACTTCCTCCATCTTTTAGTTATATGACATAACAAGCTCTCTAGCAGGCTAAGCCTGAAGTTTGTATTCTCCTCTCACAACTCCTTACACCAAAATCTTGAGGCCTCTTTGGAATCGGAATGTAAAGTTGGTCATCACTTTGATACATGATTACTACTGTTCTTAAAATTTGACATTTCAATGATTTACAGCAAAAATTATCAAGGTTTTACATATTTTCTAAGACCATTTCTTCCACAAAAGTAGTTCTTCGTGTTTATTTTAAGTTTTTAAAATATGCTAAAAGTTGTTTCTAGTCACAGCTACCTTCTTCTATCCCATAAATCTAGACAGACCATAGCAGAAAAATGATTTTGCTTTGCAGGTCGATCAAGCCATGATCCATTAGAACCACAGCAGGCCCTAACAGTCTTGTGTCTTGCCAATCACAGCGCTCTGTTGGTTTGGTTTGCCAATCACAGCGCTCTATTGGTTTGGTGGGACAATCAAAGCACTCTATTGGTTTAGTGGCCAATCACAGTGCTCTATTGGTTTGGTGGGACAATCACAGCACTCTAACTGTTTGGTGGGCCAATCGCAGTGCTCTATCGGTTTGGTGGGCCAATCACAGTGCTGTGTTTGTTTTGTGAGCCAATCACAGCACTATTGGTTTGGTTGGAAGGATGTTATTGTGTTTGAACAAAAAAACATTTATGGTGATGGCTCACTTGAAAAGGCTTTTGCATCAACTTTGGACTATTTAGACTTGGGCTTTTCTTTGAGTCAAGAGTGGGTAGAGGTACGTAAGTCCTTTATTTAGAAAAAGGATGTATGCACGTCTTCTTCAACAGTGTATGGCAGACTGCCCCAGTCACTGACATCCATAGAGGTGAGTATGCCATGTTGTTTGATGTCCAATAATAAATTCCGCCCCAGCGACTGAGCTCTCTCTCAGAGTCATGGCCAGACTATATATAGACACATATTGGATAGTTTGCCATTTTGTTTGGTTGATTCAGGCAAAGACTTTTCCAGTCTGACTCTAGTTTTTGTCTGATTCAGGACCTAAATAACTCAGAATCAGCGGTTTTGAAAGTATTCAAATTGTTTCTTGTACACACACAAAAGTACTTTGTTTCAAGTAAAATAAATGCAGTAAATATCTTACTTAAAGGCTATGTAGACTGATCATGAAGTATTCAAAAGGTTGTTTTTTTTTTCATACAAAGCCCTGAATTATAATTTAATGCTGTTTTTTTTATATTTTGTCAGTATAAACACCCTTTTACCCAAACTTACTTGTTCTACATCCTCTCTGGACTGGAACTCAGAGATGATTAGTTGCTTCCCATCTGACATGCGGGTCACAGCAACACAAAGGCGACCGTTTGCCAAATCATGAGCGTTGGATGGAAGATGTTTGCGGAGAACACTCCTTAGCCAGTTGGATATGCTGACTGAAGGGTTAAATACTCCCAATGTAAAAGACTTTAACTGTTTGGCGAAAAGAAGTATCTCATCCCGTATGAGAACTGTAATATAATAAAACACAGAGTTTATAAGATGTTTTTTTTACACACAATAGAAATGAAAACACAAGCACTGGTCACTTACTGGGGTTTAATTCACAGGCCACAGTAGCTGCTACCAGAGAGCCAGCAGAAGCACCGAGGATGTGGGGTGCTGACTGAAGGATCCAGGGTGTGTACTTCAGGAAGGCTAAGGTGACTCCCAACTGGTAGATGCTCAAAAATCCCGATCCAGAGAAGGATATATCAAAGGGAATGTCACTGTAGTGAGGACTTGAAAGACTGGGAGCCATATTGTAATTAGTTTCTGTAATCTATAGATTTTTTTAAAGTTTGAAGGCTCTTCTACTCCATTAAGTCAGGAAGCTACGCACTGAAAGAGTTCCAGTGTATTTAAATACATCGCAATTAGACACATCTCATTAGTCATGCCCATGTGACATGGCTGTCTCAAAGGCTTTTTGTGTTATTATAAAGCAGGCTCTGTTGTGAAGTTTACTTCATAATTACACAAAAAAAGTCTCAACAATAAAACGCTAGTTAATGATGTCTACATGAGACACTCTGGTGTCTGACAGTTTGGGGTAATGAGCGAGATTTGGTCATTTAATGAATGAATGTGCAGTTAGCATTTGTTTTTTGTGCTGCTATCACAGCACCCTCTGATGGACAAATTTGGTGCAACCCTTAATAGGAAGTTGTGAGGCTATTACCGGTGTGTAGTTGTCAGTCTGGCTTAAAAAAAGACTCATGATGATGATCGAGTGAGAGTAATATGGTTGTTAGCATTAAACCATAGGAATGTTTAGAATGAGTCTAAGTGTTAAACCAAAAGCCTCTGTTAAAGAGCATTAATGCATTAAAAAAGGGAGTCGATTATGGTTCATGTACATGAAATCTACAATCAGTAGTGACATTAGACCCAAACAAAAAAAATTTCATACAAAATATTTATTTTTAAAAGCAAACAAACAAGCAAACCACAACTTTAATGAAAAAGAAACAAATACTTGATCTTAAGATCAAATTTGGCAAGAAAAAATAAGTATTTTTTCCTTAAACTGCGAGTGAAAGCTCCATCTTCTTTCTGACAACCTGCTGCATCCCAAACACACCAACCACTTACTTGCTAGACGATAAACAAATCTGATAGAAACCAATATGCAGTCACACAGAATAATGTGCTTTTTATGTTATGTTATGTTTTATGTTGTGTTTTATGTTATACCTCTTGGAGGATTATCGATGCAGTTTCTTTAATTGCAGTGTTAGTGGTCATTCATAACAAACGCACAAAAAGCAAGCTCACACAAATGTCCGACACCTGCTAGAATCCATTATCCATTGTGTAAAGTCATGGATAAGTATTATAATGCTGAATCAGTCAGAGGAATTTACTCTGGTTTGTGTTGAAATATATTTTGTAGTTGGACTTTGATCCATGTGTTTTTCATCCTACTGAAGCTCTCGTTGGAGGAGAAGGCTGTGGAGAAGGTCGATCAGGTGAAACCTCAAATTGGCCCGAACTGAAATCATACGTAGGACTGCTGTCTGGAAAGTCCCCATCCTGAGGAGGACTGCGTTCTGGGGACTCAGCTGTGTCAAGATGATGTTTCTTGATGTCCTGTGGGAGTTTCAGGAATCTGAAGGAAGTCAGAGGAGATGCAGTAAACAATGATGCTTCTTGTTTTTGTGAGAAAAGGGCAGAATGTGACAAATAAAAACAAATACCTGAAGAGAAGTCTTTGTCCTCGCTCTTTTTTAATGACGTTGAGCTTGTAGTAGTGCCGCAAGGCTCGGGACATTTTCTCATAGGTCATGTTATCCCGATTCTGTCAATTTTGGTATGTGTTGAACTTTTCATAAAACTCTCATTTTGTTTGCTTTTCTTTTCAGGTTTAGGACACAGTGACTCACCTTGTGATTCCCCCAAAGACGTGCCAGTCCGTTGGGGTCAACGACCCTGAATACGTGGCTGTCTGGATCTTCCCACCGGATGTAGTCTTGGTAGCGCTCATCACACAGCAGTTGATACACGTAGTCCCAAAGCAGTCTGCACTCTGGTCGTGATTAGAAAAGATGCAACATATTAATTTAGGGTCAAATATATCCTCTTCATCTGTTATTTGGAGGTGGGACTTTTCTACATATCCATGATGCACCTTTATCACACTTGTCTTCCACTTATCAGGGTTTCGATTGTGGACGGAAGTGGTTGCAAAGGGCAGCCCTGTAGGAGTCCAACCCTCATGGAGACAGTCCAAGGCCCTATCCCAACGCTCGCATTTCAATCCTTCCTCCCTTCAATTGAGCGTTCCCATCCAAGGCTGCGAGTGGGTATGGTGTCCCGATTCTCAAGTGTGGAAGTTGACCACACCCCTTTTGCACCCTTGATTAACACTTTGCCATAGTCTGCATCAGCAAAGGGTACTACCCACAATCCATTGCTGCTTTGGAATTTTGAGAAAAGGCAGAGCATTGGCTCAAGTGGCTTTTCTGAAAATATGCTTTTTTTTTCATATTTATCGAAATGTTGAATATTTAATGATTGTGTACATTACATTACATGTCGTGTCTGTTGAAAAATATCATTAACTGATAACAGTGCTGGTGTGTATTGTTGGACATGACATCCCAGTAATTTATTCACTTGTTTTAATATCATTCAGTACAATTTTACAGACTGCAGATTCAACAGCAAAATGTTGAGATAAAAAGTGGAAAGGAAATTTTCCCATTTCGGTCAGACAAAAAAGAACATTTGGGAAATCAAATCTTCAATGCTAGAACCACATTATTATAACTTCCTTGTTTACCCAAAAGGAAAGAAGTTAATTTTAGATGATTGATTATATTTATCCATGCTCTAAGGTTTGAGACTAAGATTTTATGTTGACAGCAATAAATGCAAATTTTGTCAAATAATTTGTTTGTTTGAAAGTTGTTAAAGGTTTTTTTTTAAATAGCACAAACAGCGATCGGCATCCTGGCATTCCTCGTGGTCGATGACGCGATGCTCGCTGTCCCAATTCGACAATTATTTGCACACTTGTGGACTACATAATCAAAGCCTTATTGCATACTTCCTCCAAGTGCACTTCGTTGAGGATCATAGGGTACAATACAAGTATTGGGATTGTGCCTCACTTATTGTACACCAGACCTGCTTTTCCCCTCATACACACTGAGCATTTTTCTCCAAGGCCAAACCAGTCCAGAAAACACATGGACTGGTTGGGCGAAATCCAAATGCCGTTTCTCAACCTAACCAAGTATAAAGAGTTGGTCCACGGTTCCACAGCCCGGAAATAATCCGCATTGCTTCTCCTCAATCCGACATCCAACCACTGGCCAGATCCTCATCTACCTTACAATAAACCTTTCCAGGGAAGATAAAGAGTGTGATCCCAATAACAATGCATCAAGCCTCATTCACATTGAATGTTGAATGAATGTTGTCTGGTTTCTATGCTACTTCCATATCTATCAAATATTGAGTTCAAACAGAGCATTCATGGTTTGGTTTCAAAACAAAACCTGTGTCGCATTATTTTTGCCAGCTTTTATTTTTATTATTGAGGGGTATACCGGTGCACCATTTGTCAGAAGTAAAAGTTGCCCTCATCTCAGTTGAGCTTCAGATGGCAAGTTTTAGTCTTATTGCCTGATATTTGGACAGCTCACCTTGGACTGGATAACAGCAACACAAGTCTACCACTGATTTGCAACATGGATGTTTCCACAGACAACACAAGCCTGGAGGAGCTTCTGCCATTTGGTGAAGCTGCTAATGCTAATGGTTAGCTTAAACTAACCGAGATGTTTGCTGCTGATTTCCGGACATTAAAAAAACAGCCTTCCTTGAAATATTTATGTCAAATTTTAATCATTTGGTGCTCTTGTGAGAACAAATATCCAGTGACGGTCAGCACATGAAAGGCAGTCTTTGTGAATGGAAGTCCATCCGGAAGCTGAACAGAAACAGGACCTCATTTGTTTTGGACGTGATGTGAAAGAGCCTTCACCCTGCATTCAAACACATGTTCACTGGTTGCAGCAAGACTATGTTGGACTGAATTTGTGATATTTCTAATAAAAAAGGAAAATTACAAGGCATTACAAGTTCTTAAGTGGTAAATTTTCCTAATGGATGTTTAGGTTGGGATTGAAATAAGAAACAGTTTAAAACATCACCTGGTATTCGGCCGTTGGCTTTGTGTAGTGGGCTCCTTGGCTTCTCTCTACTGGACAGGTTGAGAGGCTCCTGGATGACACGCTCTTTTAGAGGAAGGTACTGAGTTGGATTATGGGGCGAAGAGGAAACAGATGGTGATCCATCTGAGAAAAACAAATAGAAGAGTGACAGAAAATCAGTGTTAGCACCGATTAAAAACACAAGAGGACCCTGCTGTTATTGTATTGCTCTGTTATGTTACTCACTGTTATGTGTGAGCGGAGCAGAGTAATGGTAAAAAACAGGGTGTTCTCTGAAAGGAGGCATGGGCTCATGCTGGAAGCTCACAGCAGACGCTGCAATACTGACAGTAGGAGAAACTGTGAGGGAGAAATATGAGGAAATGTGAAGTGTAGAACAGAAAGCAAAAGCTGTTTTATAATCGCTCAAATGTTTCTGATTAACAGGTTTATCAAAGATCAAAGTAATATTTAACACAAGGAGGCTATTTTACTACCAAATACAGAGCACAGAGTAAAGTAAGATGTTTGGCTTTCAAAGCAGTGAGATTATTGGTATCAATGCAGAAACAACACACTGTAGCACTTCTTACTTCCTGCAATGGAAAGTATCTTTTTTGTTTTGCCAAATTAGGAATGTGTGCACTTGCACCACTTCTGAAGTTTCATGATTTTTACATTTTTCAATATACTGTTGCTTCATGAGGAAATGCTCATCTTCTGCCTCCAGTGATACTTATTAAAAGTCAAACATATTATGTTGTGTTATTTTCATCATTCATGTACCAAGTCAGGAGGGGAAAAATTGATTGGCAATGGGTTTGTGATGGTCATGGTTGGGTAATTTAGAACTATGAAGCAATACTTTGCCTACGTATTAACAGAACAAGAAAAGTATGAAATTAGCCTCAATGTATTCACACAGGCTGACCAGGAAGCCACAGATTTATCTAGAACCCATGAGTTTGGTTTGATATGCAATCACGATCAGATCAGCAGTTATTTTGTATTTCAATCATGACAAAACAAGCATGTTTGTTAAGAGAGATACCAAAAATGAACCGTATAATATTAATTCTTTTTACATTGACAGATTTGATGTTCAAATGATGCTGAATTCTTGCAAATATGTTTTGGCTCCCCAATGACTGGCCTTGAAGGCTGAAGAATTCAAATCTTCCTCTGAAGATGGATACAGATGGATGATCTGCCCCTTCCTTATCCTACACCTCACATGGGACTATGAAATAGAAAAAGGTCATAGACTTACTAACCACTAACGCAACACATATGCACAAACACACAAATCCCACAGAAATGCACACACCAACCTACAGACTCAAAGCCCTCCTCATACACTGACTCCCTCACACCTCTGAGCAGCAGAGATCGGCGAGCGCTCCCAATAGCTGCAAACACTTTCAGTTGCAAAGGGGATCCCCGCCCCACCCAACCACCACTCATGCATTATGCTTTGATTGCCTAAATATGTGCTTGTATTTTGAGGTGTTTTTCCCACAAGCCAACTCTGTGCACTGTAGGGGGCAGAGTGGGGGTGCATGTTTTTTTTTTCTCCCTCATCGCTGCCTGCCCTTGTGTCACCCGTTTTCTTATCTAAATATGATAGCACCGTAAAGGCTGCATGCCCACAGCCAACTGTTTCTTGTTTAAGTGTTAATGAGCTATGTCTAATATTGAAGGAATATTGAAGGTTTTACTGTTTTGTTGTACCTTGATGCTGGTTTAGTGACAAATAAAGTTCCTTCTGCCTCCCATTCTTTATTACCGTAATTTCCGGACTATAGAGCGCATCTCTATATAAGCCGCACCAACAAAAAAAAAAAGGTTTTCTACACACACATGCCGCACTCGAATACAAGCCGCGGCGCAGCAGCCACATGCAGGTCTCCAGCGCACAGCGCATGTATGGCCATAACATAAGATAATTAGACAGAAAGACGCTACACTGAGGTTTTTCGTTGTTGTTTTAATTCAACAAAACAAATGTTAAACACGGGTGAACGTGCCTGCAAGTTTAGAAAAGAAAACAGCACTGATAGCATTCATATTTCTGGATGGTTACAAAATAAAAACAGAACTGACACGTTATTACCGGTAATTTGCATGCATGTTTAGAAGAAAAGAACAGCGCTGACACAGCATTAATAAGCCCTGGATGATTAGAAAATAAAAACTGCACACAAAACATGCCTGGTTAGTAAATAAAACACACTTGCCAGCCGACCAGAAAAAGTCAATCGCTCTCATCTTCCTCCTGCGCACTAAAGCCATTAAAGTCCTCTTCTTCATTGTTGGAGTTGAACAGCCTCAGAAGAGCGTCGTCACATACCTTTTCTGTGGCAATGTCAGTGCCGCTGTCCGTGTTGCTGTCATCATCCCGGGGTGAAGCTGGCTTGAATGAGTTCTTCCCGCTGACGTCTCCAGCGCCGAACCATGAATTCATTCATGCCAAGCTTACGTGCGGCAGCACTGTTTCCCTCCTTTACTGTCAGATCGATGGCCTTCAATTTAAATGCGGCAACATATGAACTCATACTTGTAGTTACCATGATGAGAGGGGTATGGATTTGAACAAAATTATTCGTCATGCCGGCTGCATGCATGTGCTAATTTAAAATGAGCACTTTCTTCGATTTCCACTTTTGACTTCCACCTGTTTCACTTTCTGCTAAAGCGCCCCCTGGCAGGTGAAGGAAAATCTTCAGTAAAGCCGCACCTCATTATATGTAGCATGGTTCAAAGCGTGGGAAAAAAGTAGCGGCTTATAGTCCGGAAAATACGGTAATCTGTGAGAAAGAGATCAAGTTAGAAAATGTCCTGACCTGGGGTGTCACTGTTTGGCTCTGTGACTGTGTGCGAAGACATCTGGTTACTGAGGGGACCCTGAATGTGTCCAGCTGAGACAGATGGAGATGCACAAGGGGCCTCATATACAACACTCCTCCTCTGCTGCTTTACACACTGAAGGATCTCATAAAGAACATCACCTAATACAGAAAAAAAAGCAATAATGAAACCTAAACATTTATCAACCTTTTTTTCTTCTGCACATGTATTTATTTTTACCTGAACTGGGACAACGGCATCTGAAGTCTTCTTTTGTGAGCAGGCACAAAGCTCTGCCGTTCATCTCAAAATGTCCCTTTTCTGGTCGTCGCAGTGAGTACTCCTTCTGCGCCCAGTGGAGCCAGTGGGCAACATCTTCCTTATCCCACAGAGATGGGTTTATTCCTAGAAAGCATCCTCCTTTAAAGCAAACACTAAAACTAAACAACTTATTTAATTATTTTGAAGACATTTTCCCAAAGAGAGTCGTAACATGCATGTTTTTGGCCTGCGGTGAGAAACTGGAGTAACATGAGAAAGCCCATGCATGCATGTGAACATGCAAATTCCAAAGGCCACAGCTACCCATTTTTGCTGGGAGGCAACTGCGCCACCATGTGGCTTTAATGCATGATGAATGGACACAGGCATGTAGGAAAGTAAAATAAATAAATAAGTAAAATAAAAAGACTCACTCAGTCGTCCAGGTAAATGCCACAGGTCTTCCTGAGAGGGAGCACTGGCCAAAGGAGCAGGAGCAGGGGGAGGGTGATGTCCACTTTCATGCTTAAAAACATCCACACAAACAGATAGGCACACATAAACTTGAATTTAAAATCGCAACTGCATGGCTCACGTGTATATATGCATGGTTTTAATAACATACATTTGTGTCCACTATTTAAAGTTTTCTGGAAACTCGAATGAGACTTTTATTGCAATTTAAGATCATTTTATTCAACAGTTTAGCTGAGATTAACTTACCTTGAAAAGGGGTGACGAGGAAATGCTGGCCATTGATATCGTCCTAAACGACTGCACACACCCACACAGACCAAAAAAGCACGCACAGACACAATCGGGATGATTTCTTCTTAAAAGTAAAAACAATAAACGCAGTAAATGAAATTCACATAAAGGATACGCTTTTTCAGCGTCAACCCTTTAAGAAAATAGAACGCGATCCACATAGACTTTAAAAAACGACAGTGTTTTCACATTCGACCCTTCCGGGAAATGAAAACGAAAGAAACATAATCCTCAAAGGGGGTGTGTGCAAACGTTGGAGGAAGCGTAGAGCACCTTTCCAAATATATTTGAGTAGACGCTTATTAATAAACCGCGTTGTAAACAAATCTGTAATAAACGATGTGTACAATAAATCATTAAACATTGAATTCTTATGCATCAACTATATGAATAATTAAGTTCAAGGTGAGAGGAAATGCTGGATAATTCAGACTGGGATCAGAAAGCGGTGGGAGCGAGAACCGCAGAAGAGAGCGGCGCGTGCGCGCACAAATAAACGCGAGCGCTCCTCCCACACAGGAAAAGAGAAGCGCGCTCCAGCGTCTCCACAGGGGTGAAAGGAGGCCATTTATTTTTTCAGGTAAACTGGAGGGGAGAACGTGCCTTACTGGTTTAATCCCACGTAACTGTTTAACCCACGTGACTGTAAAGGACTGTCGCTCAAAATGTCTGAACAGTTAGGTTTTTGTGCACAAATTTAAAGTCACCCCGTGTTTTTGTCTTTTTTTTCCAGCAATGTGGACCGAGCAACTAGGGAAACAACTTGGCAACCCCACACGGTCACTGGGGGGATGGTTGGTCAGCAAACTTTTTAAAATCCGCAACCAGGTTCTGGAGGACAACGCAGTGCAGCTTTGTGGGATCCAGCCGGGTGACACAGTTCTAGAGCTGGGTCATGGTCCTGGTCTGGGTCTGCAGTCTGCAGCCAAGCTCCTCACTGAGCCCACGGGCCACCTTATAGGGGTGGACTACTCTGAGTACATGCACCAGGTGAAACACGGTTTATAAGAACTACAACAGCTCGATGGTCTAGTGGAATATATTTATATGTTCCTTTTAGAATAGTTAATAATTTGCTCTGTTGCAGATGGCAAAAGAAAGGATGAAGGATTTCATTGCCAGTGGTAAAGTGACCTTTCACCTCTGTGATGTTGCTGCAATGCCTCTGGCTGATGACACAGTAGATAAAGTATTTCACTGTAACTGTTACTACTTCTGGCCTGATCTCAACAAGGCAGCCACAGAGATACACCGGGTCATGAAACCAGGTAATATGACGGTTACATCCACCTAACATAAACCTGCTGCAAACATTGTTGTTTCCTGATTTTTAACCCATTCAGGAGGTCTGATGGTAACCACAATGAGACTTTCCCATGTGGCTGTTTTGGGAGCAAAGCGAGTGATGCCAGGAGAGAACTGGCGTCCAGATGCCTACATGGCAGCGCTCAGAGACTCTGGCTTCACTGATGTCAAAATGGAAGACAAATATCATCACAACATCCCTTTTCAGGCGATGTTTGCCACTGCTTCAAAATGAGATGTACTGTCATGCTGTATGTGTGATTCTATCAGTTTGTTTTTTTAAATAATAATAGTAATCACAGTGAAGATAAAGCTCTAAATTATTTTCAGATTCTCAGTTGTGTCACAACATTTAGTTCTGTGCTCTCATTGTGCAGATGAATTCTATTTTAAAGACACACAGATGAATTGTTACATTGAAATGTTTTAGTCGCAATTAGACATTTTTCTGTTAAAGTTCTGAAAAAGTTGGGAATATGTGTCAAGTTAATATTCACATTTCTAGGCAATAATTAGAATAGTTATTTTCTCTAAAACACACTAAAATTGATTAAAACTATACATTCATAGACTAATAATGTTGTTTAAAGAAGTAAGAATCTTTTTAATGTAGTTGATAAAATGTGGGAAACTCCTTTACTTTGTTATTATTATTTTTTTAAGTAATTTAGAACAGACGACACTAAATCATTCATGTTCTGTACCACTCATGTTCACTCGATCCAGCAAATTTATAAGAGGTGAGACCCAAGACAGATACCAATCTAAGAGGCTGAACTCTCAAGTGAGTTTTCTCTTCACACACAAAACCCGAGAGTCGTTTAGTTGTCGCCACTGGAGAACGACAATTCATCTGAGTTTGAAGTCCTGTATATCAAGCTGGGTTTAGCTCTTTTACTCCACAGAATTATCATATTTCAAACTAAATAAATACAGTTTAATTGTTTTCTTATTCAGCTAAATAGTATATAAAGACTGTTAGGTCGAGTTTTCTTGTCGCAAACACGCTAAAACGTTTTATTTTGAAAAAACTCAGGAAGTGTTTCTACCAAACCTAAAAAAAAGAATTAGTATATCTTCTCCTCATTTGTTCTCCTAAATTTTATCATTCATAAGAAAACAAAAGAAAAAGAAAGATTATGACTTTTTAAATCAGCTTTATTGAAATATAAAGCCTAAATGATCTCTTCTAAATGGTTTAACAGAACTATGGTGTAGTTTCGCCCTAACTCCACTAGATGGCGGTGGTTCCCCTCGCCGTTCACGGATTTGTAAATCTCTCTTCTTCTGCCGAATGTTATTACTCCCAAGAGAACAAAAAATAGGATTTTTCAGCTTTATTGAGATAAGAAAAAAACATGCAAAATCCACACAGAAAGGCCAGAGAAAACATTTGATTCAAATATCCATTTGATGCAGAAGAATAGTCAAAAATAGTATATTACAGAAAGACTGGAAGAGAATTAGAGAAAAATTTCTAAAAAAATTAATGTTGGAAGAGGTAAGATGCACAGTTAGAAACATGCGTGAATATTTTGATACTCAAACAGGATACACTGTTTTGTTTAAACTTCAGCAAACAACCAGAAATATTTCAACAGAAGAAGAATAAATATTTTTATTTTCTTGCGGAATATTTGAAGCAATATTAAATAAAAAAAATAGACAATCTTGAGAAAAATAAAGAAAAAGAAAAACACTTGTAATATTCTATTAGTATCAGTTGGTGGAGGTAATGCACCAATCTGTGATTTCAAGCTACACGAAGAAGAAGCAGCGCGAGGCGGCGGCGCGTCGAGAGGGAAATCCAAAAACAACTCCGCCAACAAGTAAATCTTGTGAGAAGTTTAACCGCTCAGAGCAGAGGAGGACATCAGCTGGGAAACGTGAGTGAATAAGAGAAAACATCGATGCTTGTTTGTAACAATGAGCCTGCTAACCCTAACCCGAGCTAGTTTAACCAAATTCTTACCAGAAAGCACGATTATCTCAGCGTTTATCTTCACATACCCTCCTTATTTTATGTATTTATTTATGTTCCGCCTCTAAAAGAATGCAAAGGGCTTCCCGTTTGAAGCGTGAACTTCAGATGTTGAGCACCGATCCTCCTCCCGGGATCACATGCTGGCAGACCGAGGAACGGATCGACGACCTCCGGGCACGTAAGTCCCACCAAGTCCCTGAATCTGAAACCACTATCATACAATCTTAGTAGAACAGAACCCATGCAGTAGCTCCATTTTTACTATCAGAGGCTTCTATGTCTTTATAAACAACAGCCATCAACGTTTTGGGGAGAAATCTAGACTTTTGTCCATAATTAACAAACATGATCTGACAGCAGTGTGTGTTTTTGGTGTTCTTCAATACTTCGAAATGAGTAAAGTGTCTAAAACTTTAATATCCATCCTTAGTAATAATGGTTATTAACTTTTCTTATTATTTACTTGGATGTTGCTGTTCAAAAACTGTTTTTTTCTCTTCCTTGCAGAGATAGTAGGAGGAACAGGTACTCCTTATGAAGGTGGAGTCTTCTCCCTTGAGGTCAAGATACCAGAGAGGTTTATATTTTATTTGCATTGATGAAACTTCTGCAGTTTTTTTTTTACTAGACACAGTAACTTGCCAAGTGTTTACCATTCTTTTCACACAGATATCCATTTGAGCCTCCAAAAATGCGATTCTTGACCCCAATCTACCACCCAAACATCGACACCTCGGGGCGTATCTGTCATGATGCTCTCAAACTACCACCAAAGGTTGTGAGAATAAAATAAACTTTTGATGTGCTTTATTCTAATTTTTTTTCTTGCTTTGTACCACCTGATTGTTTGTGTATATGAGCGCACACACACACACACACACACACCACACACACACACCACACACACACACACACCACACACACACACACCACACACACACACACACACGCACACACACTCACTCGTGTGTGTATGATCACTTTGTTTTCTGTGTTTTTTTTTCAGGGTGCCTGGAAGCCGTCTCTGAACATCTCCACTGTTCTTACCTCGATTCAGTTGCTCATGGCTGAGCCCAATCCAGATGACCCACTGATGGCAGATATCGTAGGTCATCTTCTTTTAGAAACGTGATCTCATGCTTCCTATTGGTTAGTTTTTATAAACATATTGGTTCCTGTGAGTTAACATCAATGAGGAGTTTAATGAGAACCTGTTTTTAAGATATTTAATTTGAAAGTTTCTGTGAAATCTGGTTTATTTTAACATTGAAACTGTATCTGTGAGCATGTCCAATCAAATGGATAGTTACAGTGCATGTTTCTGACTTTCAATTTTCTGTTTCAAATTCAGTCTTCAGAGTTCAAATACAACAAACACGTGTTTGTGGAGAAGGCCAGGAGGTGGACACAGGAACATGCAGTTCAGAAGAACACTGTAAGCTCTTATTCTCTCATTCACACCGTGGTTCTGCCAAACAGCCACTCCATTACATCTCATCTTCTAGCCCGTTTGGTTCTGTGAAGACCTCTGGGGCAAACTCAGAGGTGGATCAACTTCAACCATCTATTCTGTCACCGTTGTTTCACACCTGACACAGATGCAGGAAGGCGTAGGGCTACTGGAAAATATTTAGTGATTTTCCTGATTTATTAAAATGGTTGATTTCATTGTTCACTCAATCTGTACAATTTTGGTTAGATTTTTTTTATCCTTAATGGTGTAATCATGTGCGTTGGCTTACTTGAACCACTAAGGGGTGCTAATTTCAAAAGAAAACCTCATCTTTTAACATTGAAAAGCACAAGTTGTACATGTAAAGGGAAGGTTTTGAGCCACCATAGTTCATGTGTGCTTTGCTTCACTCATTTTTGTGCAGACACACTAAGTTGGTCAAAGTGTAATGGAGTTTACTAAAAGTGCAGAAACTGGTTCCCAAAAAGGGTCTTCCTATGACCGAAATGAAAAATTAGTCAAACTCCAAAGCAGATGTTGATCGATCTTATTTTTTCTATTGCTGATGTCGATAGATAAAGGTCATGGTCAGCCGACGGCCGGTGTCGGTACAGGATCTGCTCGGGTGCAAGATCGGCTCGGGGTCCTTCGACTGCCGATTACGTCAAAGTACGGCAAACCCACTCGGACAAAATACACTACACATCTATACTGTTGGAAAGAATTTAGCAGTTTTGTTATTAAAATAATGTTTCTTAAGACATAAGTTTGTGTTTATAATGGTATTTGTAAAATAAAACACTATATTTTATTCATAATGTTGAACTCCTCTTTGAGCACATCCCTTGAAGAATCATAGGTATTAGCAACACCTGTGAAATTGTATTTGCAGGAAAGAAGTGTGTCCCGTTTATTGAAGTATTTTGTGTTTAGAGTTTTTGACGTCTTGTCCATGAGTAGTTCAGTTACACTCATAGCTGCTAGCCAAAACTCTGGAGTTAAAAGTTTTCTGGCTTTACTAAAATACCTGTCTGTACTTATTTGATTGATGGTATTTTTACTTTCTATTAGACTCCAAATGTAATCATTTGGCACGTTTCTAATTCATAATTTGTAATAACGTAATCGGCGATATTAGCATTAGCATTCCTATGGGTTTTTCCATGTATATCAGCATTGCGCTAACCACTCGCTGCCAAATTGCAGCCTTTGAGATTAGAAAATCTCCTTTTGTCACATCGCAATTTAATTGCACATGCAGTTAATCTTTCAGCCCTAATATACATACAGCTCTATGCTAAAAGTGTATTTTCAAAGAGGTAATGACGGATAAAAGTTGTCCATCTTTCCAATAGAAAGATTTGCCTGGACGAACGTAACGTGATAACAACGTAACGTGATTAAGTAATTCCGTAAGGTTCATGTTCAGCCAATCAACTACTTAGACGTCATCGGCAGTCGACGGACCCCGAGCCACTTTTGCACCCGAGCAGATCTTGTACCGACACCGGTTTGTGCTGCAGATGTTTTGGGCCAATTTTTCATGGCCAATATCGAGATGTTTTCCATCTTATTATTTATTTTTTTTTTTGCTAAAATGTCACTAATAACATCAGTTGATGCACAAAATTTCAGAAATGGAATCAGCTTTTGAACACTGACTTTAGCCAGCTGTTAAATCGGTGTTAAAATAAGACATCTGTCTAAAGTTACTCAAACAAATCAGTAAACTGACCAAGTGTTAAATATTCCAAACTGGTAAATAAAAATACATTTTCATTGGAAATAGTTTTTATAGCAAAGATGTTATTCAGTAACATAAAAATGCACTTAAAATATAATCTGCGTTAGCTTCAGGCTGCCCAGGGATGTGCCTGACTTTAAATCATCTTTACTAAGGAGGTATATCTGCTGATTTCGATATATAAAAAAAGGTCAAATATTGACCCAGTATATTGGCTGACCAATGTATCGGGCTACCCCTACTCCAAAAATAAACTTGGAAAATTCTTATGAAAGCCTGAAGGCTGTTGACTCATTGGGGAAAAATGATAGTGGAATGAAGAGTTACTTAAGACTTATGCACATTTCTACAACCAGATGGGACCATTTGAGTTTCTGCATTTCTCTTTAAAGTTGCAGAGGAGCACCAAAAAGCTGCAATAGGCCTGTTAGTCTAAATCAGTTTTCTGTGTTTTTGTTCAGGGAGTTGCAGAGAACGACAAAGAAAACACTCCAGATCAGAAAGTCCCTCCAAAACGAGATGCGTTCTCTCAACAGGAGACAGAAAAACCAGCAAAGCGACCTTGTGTGTAGCTTCAACATCGTTGCACATCTGTTGACTCTTTGTGGTTTGAATCTGCAATTTAGTATTAATGCTGCCTTTCATTTATTACGTATAATCCGTAGGTTTTGCACATGTATACACAATCTGTATTGTAATTGTAATAAAGTTAAATAATGTTGTGTGTCACGTCTTGACCTTTAATGCGTTATGGTGGTGAGGCAGAGCGCTAGATGTATATAAAGTATGAAGATCATAATTTTGTTCAAACATATGCTTAACAGTAGTTTATTAAGTATGTACAACCTAACTAGTACACATTTTTGTTTTTACAAACTAAAAGATTTTATTTCTTAATATATAAAATAATATAATTGTTTATAAAAAAGGAGACAAATATCATGAGGCTGTAGTTTGTCAATACCGTAGTTCAGAGGTAGTTACATTGTTTATATATTTATAAATGCCGATTGCTATCCTACTCCAAAGTCAGCAGAAATATAGCTATGTACCATTGCATTCATGACTGCATTACACCTGTAGAGCAGAGGTAAATATTTGAGACAGGGACATGCAAACCATACAAAACCATGTGAAATTCGCTTCTGCTGCATTATGTTGCCCCTACAGAACACTTATCTAATAGCTGTTGTATCGGACATTTGTAAAGTTCTTTATCGCACAATGTTGCTGTAGAAAACACTTCCAGCTTACGCTGGTAAAATGATCAGGCGTGTTTGACAAAGATTCCCCTTTTGGAAATAGAACTCAGCAAGAAGAACTTATTAAAAAGTCCATTTAAAACATTAAACAAGTTCATTATAAGTCGATTTTCTCACCACATTTCAATATAAACACATATTTTCTACGGGTCAGCCATTGATTTTTGTAATGATTAATCTTTCTGAAGAATTAACAGTTTTTATTTAAAGTTAGCATCGTAAATGACTAAGTCCACTTGTGTGTCTCAGTAACTGTCCTTTCATCAGTAATGGCATTTCCTCAAGGAAAAGTCTTTTCTTATGGAAGCAGCTTTGAGTCCCGCTCTATTTGGAGAGGCTCTTTGCTCATCAACATCTCATCGGTTCTCAACAGCTCCGGTTTTCTAGTTTTAAGAAGCTTATAGTCCGATAGTTCAGAATAGATCCTGATGATGAAAAAGGTCCTTGAATGTTCATTGTTTCCCATATTTTGTTGACAGCTGTCTCGAGAACTCATGGTAGCAGAAAACAGAGGAAGGTGTTACCAATCGCTTCTTGATCCAGATTTTGCTGCATTTTGTTTTTTGCTCAGACTTTCTCCCTTTCTTTGGCTGTGAGAGTGGGCACTTGACACGGGATGAGTGGAACAGATGAAGTAGAAGAGTAGTTGGAAAATCTGATTGGATCCAGTCTGGGTTTGGTGGAAGACCCCACGCTGTGTATGGTATCAGCATCGGTCAGTGACACCTGAGTTGACGAATCTGAGCAGGAGCTCCTCTCTGTCCCCACAGAAACCAACGAGTCCAAGGTGCGGTCTCGACGCAGCTGTGGGTGCGCTTTTGGACGAGACCAGAAGAACTGGGAGTGGTCTCTTGTGAAAAGAAGGAAGAGCAGAGGGTTGAGGCAGGAAGGCAATGGCTGCAGTAGCAGAAGAACAGATTTCAGGACTTCCTCCCCCAAAGAGAGAAGCCCCAAAAGGGAGCAAAGGGAGAGGAAAGCTACGGGTACATAGAGGAGTCCATTAGTGAAAATTAACCAAGCAACATGTTTGATCATTGCACAGTCCCACAAGCCCTCACACTCCCCTCTAAGTAACTCCCAGTAAAGGCGGATGTATGATCCTGTGACTATTAGCAAGCACAGTGTGTTCATCATAATGAGTGCCAAAGGAAAGGCTAGGGAGAATGGCAAGCGAGGAGATGGGGTAGGCAGGGGGGAAGGAAGGCAAAAGGGGGAAGACCCATATTCTCCCACACCTAACAGTGGAAGAGAAGCAAGAGTGAGTGACAGGATGAGGCAAAAAAATGCACATGTGCGAACACTCCCAAAGGATGATGATTTCCCATAGGCACGGGCACATGTCACACTTATGCCACACTGCACGGCTGCGAGAGTCAGTAGCAACACACTTGCCTCTGACGCAAACACCCAGACCCAACCTGTCGCCTGGCAACCAGGTCCCCCCTCCCAGCGAGCACCGTAAAGACTAAAGTCTCCCATTGTAAAAGCATCCACAAGTACCAGGGTGCACGTACACACTCCTGTTAACAGATTGGTAGCACCCATGCAAGCCACATTAAAACGAAGTGGCGACAAGTAGCCAGATGATCCAAAGAGGGACAGGAACAGGATCAAGTTCCCCAGCAGAGACACTAAGGAGATGGTCCACAATCCTACTCGGACTATCCAGCTGCCTAATAGTGAGTCACATGGACGGAAAGGACCTGCAACACAACATACACACAACTTATGAGCTACAATCTTAGCAACTGCTTTATGGCATCGCCAAAAGTGTCTATTTCTTTACCAGGTATGGGTGTGCATTGGACACTGGTCAGCGTTTTGGATTCCTCTATTTCTAGCTGGAACTCCTCCAAGTCAGGGTCATCTAAAATACAACATTGTTGGGTTAAATATAAAACATCCTACAGTCACAACAGATCTGTTCTATAAATGGTCTTTGGTTTATGTCATCCAATTAGACATATCTATACTCGTATGCCCTGTAGCTTTTATATTAGATTAAATCTAGACTGTTTCTAAATTATGGAGGTGGCTTAACATTCCTTTGCAGTGATAAACTAATATTTTAAAATGATTGCCATGTCTGTGTAATTGAATTTTCTTGGTGTGTTTTTATTTCAATTAAAGTGTTATAAATCTTATTATGACAACATTCCTTATTGTTTTTTTAGTACATTCTGTAACCCTATTTCCAGTCTTAGTGGTGTATTTTTGAAGGTTTGGGTATTAGCCTAATTTTGATTTATCTGTATTTATATTTCATGCCTGCCACAGGAATGGAATGGTCGACATGGAAGTGTAAGCGTGTAGGTGCCAGGTGTTAGTGGTTTTAACGAGGCTCTGACACGTTTCAGGTTGAGAAATGATTACAAATTAATTTGGCTCAGAGTTCCCTCTTTAAAAGGTGGTTGCAGACTAGAATTAGAACATGAATGTGCATGTTTGAGTTTTTCAGGACAAAAAATTAATAATTTTACCATTTCTTGCAGGTCAATAATAAACCAGACTCTTGCTTTCGCACGCCTTTTCCTTAAATGAAAGCTGAAAGCCGCAGGAAGGTCTCTGCTTTTATAGGTCGATGTTGCTTGGTTTTGAAGTCTGACTGCATTGGAGGGTGTACAAATTGGAGGGTGTACTGGTACAAATTGAGAAGTCTCACAAGTGCCAAATTTGACTTGATTAACAAGCAGATATCTTGAATCCACAATCTTCCAGCCTTTGTGTGGACACACTAGGCCGCTGAGCTGGTATACCTGAGTGAACTCATCTAAAGATTTGCTGTCAATCCTCTTGAAACTTCATAAATGTATTCATGCATCTTGAAAAATGACCAAAGGCTTAAATAACCTGGTGGTGGTAGAGCCTCAAACTGGGAGATTTCGCCAGTACAGGAAGTTATCATGGCAAAGTCACAGAAAGACTTAATGTCCTCCTTTTTTTATTAAGATGTCTAACTTGCGTGGAATATGTGTTAAATAAAAAGGTTTTTCAGGAGGGCTGCGCAGTGGTTAGAGCTGTTGCCTTGTAGCAAGAAGGTCCTGGGCTCGCTTCCCGGCCTGGGATCTTTCTGCATGGAGTTTGCATGTTCTCCCTGTGCATGCGTGGGTTCTCTCCGGGTACTCCGGCTTCCTCCCACAGTCCAAAAACATGACTGTTAGGTTGACTGGTCTGTCTAAATTGTCCTTAGGTGTGTGTGTGTGTGTGCATGGTTGTTTGTCCTGTGTGTCTCTGTGTTGCCCTGCGATGGACTGGCTCTCTGTCCAGGGTGTACCCCGCCTGATTGCCCGTTGACCGCTGGAGATAGGCACCAGCCCCCCCGCGACCCTGCATGGACAAAGTGGGTTCAGAAGATGGATGGGTGGATGGATGGTTTTACAGAAGTTTTGTGTTTGTGATATCTTACAGTTACTGTCACCGTGGATGGGGTACATGGCCACAGTCCTCTTGTGTAGGTCATCATGAGGGATGCTCAGGTCTGTGTCCCACTGCGTAGTTTGCTTGTAGCTGTCGCAGGATGCATAAATACAGCACTGGTAGGCAAAGGGCATCTCTATCACCCTGTAGCAAACAGATATAACAGCACTGGTAAAGGTTCAGGGGAAAATACCACAGTAGGTTGTAATAATGTGCAATATCTATCTATCTATCTATCTATCTATCTATCTATCTATCTATCTATCTATCTATCTCTGTGTGTGTATACATACATATACATGTGTGTGTGTGTGTGTGTGTGTGTGTGTGTGTGTGTGTGTGTGTGTGTGTGTGTGTGTGTGTGTGTGTGTGTGTGTGTGTGCAGTATGCTGCGTAGTGTTGTAACCTAAGTTTTTCTCTTTTTTTATTTATGGTTTTTAGTTGTCAGAGGTTACAATTCTAGACTACTGCCTATGTGCATATACATGTACCTTTGTTATTGTTTTTCTTCAAATTATTCCCTTAAGTATTGGTGCTGCTGTAACAAGTGAGTTTCCCCACTGTGGGATCAATATTCTATTCCTTTGTTTTTGGCATGATCCCCATGGTTTTTAAATACTCTAACCATTTCTTTTTAGCATTGAAACGAAGTTGTCTAACTCTTTGGACTGATCAATAAACGCTTAACAGTTATAAGTATCAGTTAAGTACCATTAACTGGTTCTCTGCTAGGACTTCTGTTTTTGGACAGTATTCTCCAGTAATGATGTTATTTCACCTTGATCACATGCCATCCTCTCTTTTTACCTCTTTTTTTCTGTCCTTCGGATATTTTTGCGACATGAATTAACTTGCTTATTCAAGTATCTCCTCTGTTAAAAATCAAGCCAGGAATCATGTTCAGGTCTACATCGCAACTAACCAGTTGTCAGAGTTGTTGCTTTTGGAAAGTTCACAACAATAATAAAACATCATAAGTTTGGGATATAAAAATGGAATGGTACTGTTTGTTCCTTCTTTCCACAGGACACCTGGATCTTAGTCGACATGATTACTGAGTTCACCAAGAAGAATTAGGATCATTATAGGGTGATTTTCATGACCTTTTCGCACAAAATGCTAGCTGTTACTATTCACTTACATTGTTATTGCTACGCTAAAGGAATACTGCCAGATTATGCAGTTTCCACTAATCCAATTCTGGAGAATATTTCAACAGACTAAATTTCCCATAGTGGTGGAATATCCCTTTAAATGTGTAAATAACTCATTTTATCAATAATTTGCAGTGGTCTTTGGTAGGAATGAATGCCTTGCAAGCCATATTTGGGGCAAAAGAGCCCAGAAACGCCTGCATCAACACGGGCAAGTCTGCTTCATTTGAGGATAGCTTCACACGGCAAAATTTGTCTTATTTCCTGATATTTGGACATCTTGCCTCAAACTGGATAACAGCAACACAACTCTACTACTGACTCCGTTTGTTCTGCAACGTTGATGTTTTATGTCTACAAATAAAACAAGCCTGAAGGAGCTGCCATGTGGTTGAGTTTCTAATGCAAATGATTAGCTTCTGCTAGCCGACACGTTCTCTGCTCATTCTGGATGCTAAAACAACAACAGCCTTCCCCGTCGCGAGCCAGAATGGGTGAGTCCAAGCGACCGCTTAACGTAGATCTGTCAGGCTATTCAAATCCAAGCGTTTCACTGTCTATTTTTTAGAAACTAATGCAGGAGAGAGGTGTAGGAGACTATTTTCATGTTCAGCCTGCATGAAATCTCAGTGACCAATTATAATCAGAAATTATTATAAAAAGTGGTTTATCAGTGAACCACACCTTTAAAGTTGAAAGTAAAAACAGAGAGAACTATTATTGTTTATGTGTTACCTCATGTGGGGGAAGTGGTCCGTACTGAAGGCCTCATATAATTCTTTGTTCCCTCTCAGTTTGAGATGGGTGAGTCCTACCAAACCAGCAACTGGCAAAGAGCTGAGACGGTTCTCAGTAAGATCCCTAAAGCAGGTAAAGAAACAGAAATTAGCATTTGCAAAACAAGATTTTATTCTTTAAAAGATATGATTCTATCTCTCTGATATCTTAACCTGTTCACACAAGGCACATTATCAGATTCTCTTACGACAGTACTAACTGTCAGACCAAAATTGTTTGGACAGGCAAACTTGGGTCATCATGAAATCTGCAATTTTATACGACTTAAAATGCTGCTTTAAAGAAAAAAATTGTCAGTTTTTCACAGACTAATCCAAAAACTTAGTTTGCGTTTATGTGAGCCCACATCACTGCTACGCCGATAATTTGCGATACACAAACTGACAATCTGTTTTTAAGGAGTAAGAATGATCGCACAGATGAAAGGTGCAGTCTAAGTGAGTGATGTGTGTCTGTTTTTGCTCACAGTTTGATCAAAGAGTGAAGCGAAGCAAAGGCATCTGGGTGGATCCACTCGATCATGTTCCAGCTCAGATCACTAACAGAAAAACAAGACAAAGAATCCAAAGAGAGCTGATAATTGAAGAATTCACCCTGCTGCATTATTCTCTGTTGTGTCTCACCACTAGGTGTCATTAATAAGTCACACAGCTTCATAAATTATCAACTCTTCCAAATGTTTAACTTGTGTAAACACAATACTGCCCATTTTAACACCTGAACATTTATAAACACTGTTTCCTTATATTTAGAAAAATAGTTGTAAGTCTTATATATCTTACATTAATCTTACTTTTCTTAATGGGATCAATTTGAGAAATAATTCTAACGCTCCCACGCTCACAAGCAGATCTTAAATCAGGGCAGAGCTCAGTGTCCTGCCGAGGTCTAGACATGTGGGCTAGAGAAGCTGGAAGTTAAACTACCAGCTTTTCAATCAGAAGATGACCCACTCTACCTCAAAACAATAAGTCTAAACGAAAGTGATGTGTGTCATGTGGGAGAGCGTGATAATTATTAGAACATGATCGACTCACAGTGCTCTGAGAGAGGTGAGCTGCTTGAAGGTGCTCGATTCTATTCTTCTAATCTGGTTATGCTGTAATCCACTGTTATAAAGAGAAATACAGACGTTGAGCTAAAAGAAAAACAGATTTTGCTGGTGAAGTTTCTTAAACATCCAGGTAATGGTAATCCAAAGGGTTCAAATGAAGGCAACTGGACTTCTTTGGTTCCTTGCAGACATTTCGCTTCTCATCCGAGGAGCTTTGTCAGTTCAAAGCTCCTCGAAACGTCTTCAAGAAAACCAAAGAAGTCCATTTGCCTTCATTTGAACCCTTTGGAAAAACAGATTTGGACACAAAAGTGTTTTTAAAAACTTACATTTCTTGCAGGGCAGAACAGCGATAAAAGCTGGGAAGATCCTCTATCTGGTTGTTGGACAGCTCCCTAAAAGAGTCCACAAAAAACACAACACTAATCAGTCTAAAACACAGTGGTGGTGTTTAAAGTGTAGGAAATGATGGGGTGACAGGATTACTTGGGTGTCAGCTCTAAGCAATAATACAAGACAATCGTTTTTTTCTGAAGAGGGGGAAGGGTAGTGATTGGATTTCACAGTAAATAGACGGTATCAGTAATTGCTTGGGGGCACAACTCTCCACGTTTAGGTTTTATGTATCCATTTTTTCTTTTTTCCCCCCATAATGTGTTTGAGTGAACTCACAGTACTCTGAGGCGAGGCAGCTGCTCACATAGACCTGGAGGGAGAGCTGAGAGACCGGCTCGAGTCAGTGTCCTGTAGAGAAACAGAGGATCCTCATATCATTGCTGGAGTGCAAGGAAGCAAATTACTTTCAGAGTTCTGTAAGTCTAACTTAGTCTGAGAAGCTACCTAATGCAGGTAGGCACAATCGATCTACTCCACCTCATCACTGTAAACCCAAAAGTTTAAAATAATCAAATATATTGAGTAGATGAAACTCATTATATAAAAAAACTGTTTTTAGAACTCAAATGTGTTGAGTTAGTTCAACCTTCACCTTGTTTTAAGTACAGAACTCAAATTAAATTAATTAATCTGAACTATTTATTTTTAAAGTAAGCATAACTTAAATTAATTAATAAAGAGCAACCTCACTTTAATGATTAATATTAACTAATAAAATATTGATTTATTATTTTATGTTTCTATATTATTCCATTCATCTTTACGTCAGCCCTAAAGTGTTTCTGAAAAACAGACTTGTATATTTTTTAAATATTTGTGGGTTTATAGGAATAACAACCATGAACTAGCAATTTTGGTGGATTTCAGAAACAATAAACAACTGCTGGCACGGTGCATTGAGGGTAGTCATGTTTTCAGTCATTTTGCTCTATTTTGTGGTGTTTATGCATGCTTATTGTGGAGGATTGTTGTTCTCAGTTATTATTTCATTCAGTGTGGCAAATGTGGTGCTACCTTTTGTATCATGTTAGCCCCATAAGTGAGGAGGTTGGTCAAAGTAATGATGTGCTGCTTTGCCATTCCATTGTTATCAATTATGTGGTTTTTCACACCAGATGCTCTTGACTTGACTGAGTGATCCACTTTCATTGGCTGTTAACATCCATGGGTGTGTGAGTCATGATCTGGTGTTAGTTACTGCCTTCACCAGCCTGCCACATTGTCATTTTAAAGTAAATTCTACCTATTTGGGTTAGGGTTTAATAGGTCCACTTAGAGTTCATATTAGTTATAAAATTTAGGTTAGTAAAAACATGTAATGAAGTTCAAATAAAATAAAATATGCAAGTTTAGTGAAATTAAACTTTGTAAGTTGGTTAAGTTGGTTAAGTGTTAAGTTATAGGTTGGAGTAGTTAAATGCTTTAATTTTATTCAGGTTATATTTTTTAAGTTATGGTAAACTTATAGTTTTTAGATAAGTTAACTTAAAAATTATTAGGTAATCAGTTTCCTCATAAATTTTGAGTTCTTCGTCTTCGTCTTCGTCTTCCTCGGCTTATCCGGGTCCGGGTCGCGGGGGCAGCATCCCAATTAGGGAGCTCCAGGCCGTCCTCTCCCCGGCCTTGTCCACCAGCTCCTCCGGCAGGACCCCAAGGCGTTCCCGGACCAGATTGGAGATGTAACCTCTCCAACGTGTCCTGGGTCGACCCGGGGGCCTTCTGCCGGCAGGACATGCCCGAAACACCTCCCCGGGGAGGCGTCCAGGAGGCATCCTGACCAGATGCCCAAACCACCTCAACTGGCTCCTTTCGATCCGGAGGAGCAGCGGTTCTACTCCGAGTCCCTCCCGAATGTCCGAGCTCCTCACCCTATCTCTAAGGCTGAGCCCGGCCACCCTACGGAGGAAACTCATTTCGGCCGCTTGTATCCGCGATCTCGTTCTTTCGGTCATTACCCAAAGCTCATGACCATAGGTGAGGATTGGGACGTAGATCGACCGGTAAATCGAGAGCCTGGCTTTCTGGCTCAGCTCCCTCTTCCCCACGACAGATCGGCTCAGCGTCCGCATCACTGCAGACGCCGAACCAATCCGCCTGTCGATCTCCCGATCCCTCCTACCCTCACTCGTGAACAAGACCCCGAGATACTTAAACTCCTCCACTTGAGGTAGGACCTCTCCCCCGACCCGGAGGTGGCAAGCCACCCTTTTCCGGTCGAGAACCATGGTTTCAGATTTGGAGGTGCTGATCCTCATCCCAGCCGCTTCACATTCGGCCGCGAACCTACCCAGCAAGAGCTGAAGGTCAGAGCTGGATGAAACTAGGAGAACCACATCATCCGCAAAAAGCAGAGACGAGATTCTCCTGCCACCAAACTCGACACACTCCACACCACGGCTGCGTCTAGAAATTCTGTCCATAAAAGTGATGAACAGAACCGGTGACAAAGGGCAGCCCTGGCGGAGTCCAACCCTCACCGGGAACAGGTCCGACTTACTACCGGCTATGCGGACCAAACTCACGCTCCTCTGGTAAAGGGACTGAATGGCCCTTAACAGAAAGCCACCCACCCCATACTCCTGGAGCGTCCCCCACAGGGTGCCCCTGGGGACACGGTCATAAGCCTTCTCCAAATCCACAAAGCACATGTGGGTTGGTTGGGCAAACTCCCATGCCCCCTCCATCACCCTTGCAAGGGTTAAGAGCTGGTCCACAGTTCCACGGCCAGGACGAAAACCACATTGCTCCTCCTCTATCTGAGATTCAACTATCGATCGGACCCTCCTCTCCAGTACCTTGGCGTAGACCTTTCCAGGGAGGCTGAGGAGTGTGATCCCCCTATAGTTGGAACACACCCTCAGGTCACCCTTCTTAAAGATGGGGACCACCACCCCGGTCTGCCACTCCCTAGGAACTGCCCCCGATGACCACGCAATGTTGTAGAGACGTGTCAACCATGACAGCCCTACAACATCCATAGCCTTGAGATACCCAGGACGAACCTCATTCGCCCCCGGGGCTCCGCCGCTGTGTAGTTGTTTGACTACCTCAGCAACTTCTGCCCTCGAGATCGGACAGTCCATCCCCAGGCCTCCCAGCTCTGGTTCCTCCTCGGAATGCGCATTGGTGGGATTGAGGAGCTCCTCAAAGTATTCCTTCCACCGTCCGACTATAGCCTCAGTTGACGTCAGCAGCTCCCCATCCCCACTGTAAACAGTGTGAGCGAGTTGCTGCCTTCCTCTCCTGAGGCGCTGGACAGTTTGCCAGAACCTCTTTGGAGCCGATCGATAGTCTTTCTCCATGGCCTCACCAAACTCCTCCCACGCCCGAGATTTTGCCTCGGCAACTGCCACTGCTGCACCCCGCTTGGCTATCCGGTACCTGTCTGCTGCCTCCGGAGACCCACAGACCAGCCACGCCCTGTAGGCCTCCTTCTTCAGCCTGACGGCTCCCCGAACCTCTGGTGTCCACCAGCGGGTACGGGGGTTGCCACCACGACTGGCACCGGCCACCTTACGACCACAGCTAGCAACAGCCGCCTCGACAATCGCAGAGTGGAACAAGGCCCACTCGGACTCAATGTCCCCCACTGCTCTCGGGACGTGGTCAAAGCTCTGTGAACTTATTCAGAATTACAGTGATCTGTTTGTTCCCTGTATCCCTAACCCTAACGCACAATCCACACCGGAGACGTCAGCGGCACAGAACAGCAACAGAACTTCTCTGCTTCAAGTATAATCCATTATAATCTATGGGTTGATCCACACTGACTACGGCGCTGAACAATTCAGGTGAGTCCAAGAAGCAGTTTGCTGCTCCACTAAAGATAGGATTAGGTTCTATTTTTGCTGTGAGTTTCTTCTGGGATGATTCAGTTCCCAATAGACAGGAAATCACACATGGTATCAATGTAAACTGTTCGGTCATTTTCAAAATAAAAGAATTGCAGAGATGTGATTTCTTAGATTACGTCAGTACATGTGACCTAACGGGTTATTTACTCCCAGCATCTTTTGAGAAGTGCAACGGTGTGTTTTTCATCATGGATGATGAGGCTTAATCCCGGCAGCGGAGAGGCACAACATGAAGTCAGAGGTAACGTTTTTACATTTCGAGGAACAAGAAGTGAGCCACCTCACAGCTGAGCTTCAGGTTTTGGAGTCTTGTTTCCTGATATTTGGACATCGCGCCTCACATTGGATAACAGCAACTTGATTCTACCACTGGCTTGCAACGTGGAATTTTTATCTCCGCTATTAACTCCAGCCTGGAGGAGCTTCTGATGTGTGGTGAAGTTGCTGAACGTTCAGTGATAGTGTGACGTCGATATCTCAGTCTTTTCAAATCATTTGCAGGAGATAGTTGTAGAAGACTACTGTCATGTTCAGTCTGCATGAATAACTCAGAGTGACCGATTATAATCAGAAATAAGGTTTTAAATCGATTTTCAGTGTTCCTTACCTTTAAATCCTCCTCAACTCAAGTCTGTATTCACATTGTAACAGTTTCTCATCTGGGTTGGTTTAGTTAATATTATGGGGTGCCAGTCAGGTCTCCCTCCTGACTTATAGGATGATGGTGAGTGTTTAAGAAATTAGCTTTGAACCCAGTTTTCCTCTGTCACACAAGGACATATACTTAAAATTATTTTGTATACACCCTCAATTTCTATAAAAAGTGTAGTAGGCAACCAGCAGAATAAAGAATACAGCACAGCCCTTGAAGACATATCAGCCATCGTGTCCTTGATTTTGGTGTAGCTCCATTTTAATTTTCCTTTTTATCTTCTTTTGTCTTTGCCATGGAATAAGGAGTTGACAGGGGGTGTGAATGATTCTTCTAGCAGGACACAATTCAGTAACTATTCTCCTCTGGAATGATAGGTGAATCCACACCGACAAAGGAAGACGCTCCACATGCTGACCCTTTCTCCAGCACTTTACATCCAGCACAATACATCCAAGGGAATCAAAGGAAACGATTGGAGAAAAAACCAGGGGAGATACAGTGTGGCTTTCCTTTTGAAAGGTGAACTTGGGCGTGGTGCACAGGTGCTGAGCATTGGCCATCAAGGCAGAGAGGAGGCAGGAAATGAGCAATGCAGTGCAACCTCAGGTTGTCACAACATGATTTTATTTTAATTGTGTGTTTCTGACACTCACAAAATTTCCAAGCTGGTTGTTCCTTTCAGATCCGGAAACTCTTGGATTTGGGTTGCCCCATTCAAGGAACTACAGTAAAGAAAATACAAAGAAAATTAAAAAAAGGGTTTTACACATCGGCCTTTCCCTCTCTTACTCTCATGTATCCATGCATAAACCCAGACCCTGTCTAACAGCTCATTTCAGCCATCAAGTTTGTGCTCCAACATCAACACAGACCTTTCTGGCCATCTCACCAGACATCATAAGTCACACCATTCAACATTTTCTTACAGTACACACACTCTCTCTTACCACATCAGCGCACAACACAGCAATACCTTAACACAACATCATTCAGTAGGCTATTACACATCCACTGAGCCCTCGCTGCAAAGGACAGCAGATGATTTAAATGATGTTTCTGCTAACTCACTGGAATGGCTTTTACTGACCACATACTTACAGCGTGTGCAACTTCGGTAGGAACTGGAAAGCGGATTTCCCTACAAACTGGATAGGGTTCTCGTAGAAATGACTGGAGAAAAGGAGAGAAAACACGCAACAGCATGCTCATTCATTTGTTTCACAGATAAATGCTGTTTCACATGATGTTGACATGAAATTCCAGTTGTGTTTATTTTACATGTGCACATTGTAGAATTCTGAATAAGCAGCAAACTCACATGGTTTGGAGCTGAGGGTTTCCCACAAAGGCTCTCTCAGGGATGGCTTTGATATTGTTGTTATGGAAGCCCCTGACATTATAAAAACACTCAGTTAGTTCAAATCTCAATCAATATGTTTTGGATTTAGTGTGTTTGGAGGAGCGACAACGTGTGCTTCTGAGTGAGAGGCAAGTCATATGTCATGTTGCACCTGCCACTGCACAGCTGAAGAACATTTTTGGATACATGAGACGTAAACATGCTTGCATACGCTGTCTCTGTGACACACATGCATGCTGCAAAACATCTGCTGAAGCAGAGGAAAAAGTGTGTGTGTGTGTGTGTGTGTGTGTGTGTGTGTGTGTGTGTGTGTGTGTGTGTGTGTGTGTGTGTGTGTGTGTGTGTGTGTGTGTGTGTGTGTGTGTGTGTGTGTGTGCAGACAAGTGTCTGCGTGGGTGTGTAGCCAACACCTGCTTGGGGCGAGTGAGATCGTATCCGAGTGCCACATTAAAATCACTTAACGGGATTACTTGGGATAACCCAACTATGATAGTCATGTCAGGCAGGTGTGTTTTCATGCGTGTGTGTGCGTGCATACTCGTACTCACAGTTCCTGAAGTTTACTCAGTGTCCTGATTGCCACAGGGAACTCTTGCAGATCATTGTAGTTTAAATCTCTGCAAGTTAAACAGTTGTAATTAACCATTATGGTATGTTATTAAGTCCCAATCATGGAGGAGGTTTAATATTTCTGCAAAGAAGATCAAATTTCGTTTAAAATATTTGTGTGTGTGTGTGTGCTAGAAAACGTGTCTGATTGCAAAGATATACATGTACTATAGCAATTTGCTATCCAGCCACAAAGGTTAACAGCTGTTAAGTATGTTTAACAAAACTATAAATATGTGTAACACAACTCTTGAGGCATAAAAGCCCCGAAGCCTTATTCAGTCTAGCTCTTTTTTTCCTAGAATGAAAAACATTCAAAACAACCATGGCTTCTCTGGTTTTCTTTTCCTCATGCAGTTCCAGAGATAGAGCATGAATCAGACAAAAATAAATAAAATACACACACACACACACACACACACACACACACACACACACACACACACACACACACACTTTTTTTTCTTTTTGTCTTTTTTTGGGGGGGACAGTAAAGAGAATGCAGGAAAGTGGAATGGAAAAAATGGAGAAAAACTAATCAACCAGATCACTATGAAACCTTCAGAAAGCAACTGTGCTCTTACAACTCTGAATTAAATAAGGCAAGACAAGCCTTTTTCTCCAAAGTCATTAGTGTTAATATTAACAATTCCTGTATAATGTTTGCTGGTATTGTGAGGCAGACTAATCTCCCAACACACCTACTGTCAGGTATTTTTCCTAAATGCTTGAAAACTGCTGCTGTTAAGCCTCTTAAAAAATAGATCCCTTGGTGATAACTACAAACCAATCTATAATCTACCTTTCACTGGGGAAATGATTGAAGAAGCAGTTATGATCCAGCTGAACAGTTTTTTGGGAGACAAACAACTTGCTAGAGTCTGGCTATCAGTGCAGCTTTGGTAGTGTGGACCAGAACATCCTACTTGATAGACTCATAGACTGGGTGGGACTTTCAGGCACGGTCCATGGTTTGTTCTGATCATATCTCAAAGGTTGGGCTATATGGTTTCTACTGGTGTTCACAAATCAAAGCAGATCTCCATGACTTGTGGGGTCCCTCAAGGCTCAATTCTTGGACCACTGCTCTTCGATCTCATGCGCCCCCTGGGTCAGGTCATATACAGTAAAAAAATTGCTTGTAGTTATGCAGATGACACCCAGATCTACCTAGTTCTATCACTTAGTGACTGTGGTCCCCTAGACTGGCTCTGTCAGTGTTTGGAGTAAGACAATAACTGGATGCAAACCTTATAGTTAAACAAGACTGAAGTTATTGTCTTTGGAAAAAAGATGGAAAGGGTGGAGGTTATTGCTCAACTTGGCACCAGAGGAATAAAGACAAAGATACAGGTTGGAAATCTTGTAGTTATAATTGATTCGGACCTGAGCTTCACTGGACACATTAAGGCTATAAATAGATCAGTGTTTGATCATCTTCGTAAAATAGCAAGACTCAGAGGTCTCATGTCCAGACAGAACCTAGAGAAACTCATCCATGCATGCATCTCCAGCAGGCTGGACTATTGCGATGGTCTTTTAACTGGTCTTCCCAAAAAAGCACTGATGCAACTGCAGCTTAGAATGCTGCTGCTAGAGTCTTAACAAGAACCAAGAGAACCAAACACATCACTCCTGTTCTTAAATCTCTTCACTGGTTACCAGTAAACCACAAAATCAATTTCTACTAGTTCATAAATTACTCAAAGGCATGGAGACAGAATACATGTCCGATCTCCATCCAGTATATATGCCCATCAGGACTCTGAGATTCTTAGAAAACAGTCATCTGGTAGAACCTTGGGCCAGAACCAAACAGGGTGAAGCTTCCTCATGACCTCAAGTGTGCCCCAACTCTAGCAACTTTTAAATCAAAATGGAAAACTTCCATACATTCATCAGCATTTGAATAAGTGTTTCTTATGCTTCCCCTTCTGCACTGTAACTGCTCACTCTTTAACTTTGTGTTTTTTCTTATGTTAAAATCTGAAATTAATGTGTGTATTTACTTTTGTCTAACTTTATTTGTATATTTTAATTGGGCTGTCACATTGATTTTTTCATGATATTCTCACTAATGGAAAGCACATTGAATTGCCTCTGTGTAGAAAATGTGCTATACAAATAAAGCTGACTTGCTGCCTAAAGGTGTATAATATATGGTGATAAAAATGTAAAATAGCAACAATGTGTAATGCAACAAAAGTATTTTTATTGAAATATCTTAATTTCTTTCTGTTTTTTATGTATTTATTTATTTTTGTTCATTATGTTTTGTAATAAGATTTGGGGCAAAAATGTGCTCTACTACATGGTTGACCAGCCAGTTAAAGAGTTAAAACAGTCCTGTTCAGAGTTGCTGTTTTCAGTAGATAAAGGTTTGTTTGGAAAAAAAAACATTTTCTTCTTTTCCCATCACACTAGCATGTTTGTTTTCATGGGATAAATGAGCCTGCATGTGAATGCCAAGACGTGTTCCCTTAAACATATGGCATGGCAGGTGTTCACATATATGATCCTATAAAGATTCTACACTCTACAACACCAAGGGTATAATAAGGACCAAAACAAACTTTATACAATTTGATGAAATACTTTGAGACATCCTTTATTTCATTTCCAGTTGTTGAGAAATATTTACATTTATAGCTGCTCTCTGTTCTTTGAATATGTTGTGTTTTCCAGCAGGACCTTGGATGGTTCCTCGTAGTAATGATTTTATAACACACACTAGGGGTTGGTAGATGGCGGTAAAGCATACGGTCTCTCATATTTCTCATAGGCAAAGCCACCGTGAGAGATTAACCCCTCATACCAGCACAATCGCCACGTCAATGACACCTGTCATCTTATCCCGCTGAATCATCTGTCTCTCCTGACAGTCCAAACACTTTAACACACACTATTCCTGTCCAAAGACCTCCTTCCCTCTTTTTCACATTCTCTAGTTTCCTTTCATCTGCTTGAACCATGGCTGCCCTGACTTACACCATACTTCCTCACATTTCCCATGATACATATAGCCTTTTGGGTTGAGTGTAAAGCTGGCCATTCGCTCGTGATTGCACAGGCAGAGGTGCTTGACTATATTATTACACATTCTTGCATGTGCCCACACACATGCTCATGAAAAAATAATGCACAATTTTTTTACACTTCAACAGGTTGTTAAGAAGTGTGCCAGGAATGGTTTTCATCAGACCACCGTGAATTTAGCAGGATACAGATTTGCAACTTTTTAAGTTTCTCTCGCCTTTTCACCCCACCTCCCTCCACAAGACTGTGTCAGTTTTCTGTGGTCTCCACATTGCTGTGTGGTTAGGATTTAGTTATTAAAGCGATGGCATTTAGTCCAAAAGAACTCTCCTGGAACCACACTATGCTATTCTTGACCTTAACACTGCTTAGCAATTACCAAAACAAAACAGCAAGGAATCCATTGATGATACTTCAAGGTAATCAAAGGGAATCTTTTCATTTTTGCATTCCTGCTGTTCAGTTGTTGGTTGTGGTTTTGAGAAACGTTCGAGCACCTGCTGAAATTACCAGCACATTAATCATAGTGACTTTACAATTTAACGCTACGCTTCAGAATTCCTTGGCACAATTTTTACATATAATTTATAAAAACACATTAATTTTTCAGACTTTCCTAGAAACACCCACCACCATTATACACACACACTCACAAAGCACAAGGCAGGTCTCTCACACATGCAACGTGTCGTGATGACTCTTGGTTGTGTTGCCTGTTTGAGGTTTAATCCATTGAGTTCCACATATATTTTAGGGTTGAGTCAATGTGATTGCTGTAAACACTTCTACATTAAATGAATGTTGTTACTTGCTGATAATCATCGCAAAGCCTGAGTCAGTGTTTGGGGAAACAATAAGGTACTAATTTAGGTTGATGAAATTAAACGATATCAAGGTGAGTGCGTGTAGAGTGTGTGCAGTTTTTTTGAAAACATGTGTGGATGTGGGATACTCACAGCGTCTCCAGACTTTGTAGACCTTCAAAACATCTTGAGCTCATGCTCTGTATGTGGTTGTTATGGAGATGCCTGGAAAATAAATGTCCACAAGCTATTCCAAGTAGAACAGAAATTCCTTTTTACAACATTCTGTTCTAAGGACACAATGTAACTTATGTGGTAAGTTGTCACTTACAGGACAACAAGGGCAGAAAGGTTGGTAAATGCGTAGTCTGGGATGTGTGTGATCTGGTTGAGCGCCAATGTCATTGCCTGCAGGGAGGGCAAAGAGTCCAAGGCCATCACGGGGATCTCCGTCAGGGAGTTGTCATCCAACCACAGGTGTCTCAAAGAACGAACACCTCTGAAAGCTTCAGCCGGAACCTCAGACAAGAGGTTAGCATCGAGGCGCCTGCGGGATAAGAAGAGCCATGCTCAAGAGGATAATCACCTAAGTGCAGTATCTCAGGTTATGTGCATATGTATATCTGTGCTTTGTGTGCATTTGTGGTTTTGTGTCATGACTCCAGACTCTTCTCTGGATTACTGAAAGGGTATTAACGAATTACAGATCTTTTATTCTCCGTCTTTCATCTCTGCTGCAGCTTCTTAGAAGTTCCTTAATATGATTTATTTCCAAGCTAAATAAGTTATGTCAGGCTTCACCTGCACAGACATGCATGAAATGCAAAATGCGAAAAAAAAAAACATAACCATGTAGTAATGATCATTGTGAGCCTGTTTTATTCATTCTTCATTTATTTATGTTTTTGTAAAGATTCCTCCATGTGTGGACAAAAGGGGAACGATGCATCCTTAGCTGTTTCTCTTTTCCGCGTTATTTCCATCGGAGATTTGACGTTACTATCTGACTGATGGTTCTACATCTCAGACACAAACACTCATTGCTTCATCTACTGAGGGGATGACAGTGGACATATGCTTTAAACCTAATCCTCCATCTTTTTAAACCCAACAAAACTTCTAAAAAAAAAAACCAAAAATGTTAGTCCCTTTTCTCCCTTAATACCATAAACTCACAGTGTGGACACCCACCCTTGTAAATACACTCATCCATACACACTGTTCATAGTGATGAACGATCCCCTCAAGGCAGGGTTGACAACCTGAGACCACTTCCTTCTGCTATTCTTCTTTCCTTTGCCCTTCACACTTTTTCATTAATCTCTTTTTGCTCCCTCTGGCCTCTTCCACACATGCACACACCACACATTTTCTGTTTCTTACATCGTCACTGATGCACTTCCATCTCAGTCCCTAACTCTTGATGTTGGGTCTGAGACAGTTCCTTGATTCATGTCCTCCCCTCCTTCAACGGCCCTCTGAGACTACACCAAACAGAACAAATCACGAAAGGGAAATCTGAACTTGAACTTTGAGCCTTCTAGGGAACGTCTCCATCAGACTAACAACTGTATACATGCTAGCAGATTCTCGAAAAGCAGGCATGCACCCTCCATAATGTGTGTGTTCATGAACATGCACACACACAAACTGCTTCAAGAAACACCGTCGTCCCTGGAGGCTGGACATGTCCTTTTAAACAAAGTGAAGTTTTGTCCACATAGTTTGCCCGACTGACAACATTGTTTACCCTTGACTGAAATCACAGGATGAACGCTTTGAAAGGCTCTTCATCCCCAGGGTAAGAAATAAGTCCTTCCTTTGGGTAGATCCTTCATTGTTCCGGAAGGCGCAGACAGAACGGTGTACGTTCCACTGAAGCCAATAAAGCAGACTATTTCCTGCCCATCACTTCAATGTCTGACATACGATTATAGGAGTGAGAGGCAGACAGAAAGACAAAAATCTTTCCAAATTCTCAGGAGATCTGGGGACTTCTGTGTTCCGGCTCAATTCTCCAGATGGCTTAAGCTTTATACACTGAGGAACCTGGACGAGCTCATTTTAAAGCCAGTGTAAGGGAAATTTCTAAAACAGACATATGCTGGTTTAAACCCGCTTGTGAAACTCGTCAGTGGTGATTACTCTTCCTAACCTGTAGGCTGGGGCCCAAAACGCATCTGACTGCATGTGATGACACCAAACTAAACAACAGCAATCGCACTATATGTCGTAATGATTGTTTCAAAGGGTGAGAGAAACTTTTAGACAGAGGGATTTTTAGCTGAGATTAAGTCATGATTTACTTTAGATGAAAGCTTGCCTTCTAAGTTTATGACTCATTTGTCGTCTCGCTCTCTCTCTCTTTCTTGTCTTTTTACCTGGTGTTTTTTTTGTGCCAGTGAGAGGCGCCGACAAGCTTCACTCTCCAAAGCCGTTCCAGTAATCTTTCTCTGCTGAGCTTATCATTACTATAATGACAAGGTGTGTCTTTTTTCATCAGCTCTGTGTGTGTATTTTGAGTGTGTGTGTGTGTGCCTTCGTCATGACTTGAGGTGATCTTTATGTGAAAAGGGAAAAACATGATAGAAAACCTCACACACAAAGATTTGGTCTTATTCACATGAGGGCAGCCTCAGGTGGACTGTATGCCTGTACAGCACATGTGTGAAGACAAATGAGTGTGTGTGCAGGTTTGTGGCATCTGAGGGAACATCTTTATGACAGACAGAGAACACTGTAGGCGGTAGAGACGTTTTGTGCCTGCCCCTTCTCTTTTATAGTCCAAGCAATTTGTGCATCTGCATGATGAAAGAAACAATATTTACAAAGAATTATAAATTTGGAAGCAAAGAAGTGGAGGGTTTTCCAAAGTCAAGAACGGCGGGCAAGCAGGGGTGAGGAATCATAGAAGAAGAGGTCGAAATGCACTTGACTAAACACGCATACTGACACACATCCACTGACCCCACAGATTAGACAATTAAGCCACCCAACGCTCTCATTAGCCAGGGGGATAAGTGTGTGTGTGGGTGGTGGTGGTGGAGGAAGAGAGGGGGAATTGATGGAAAATAGGGTTGTTTCACAGCTCATTGGAGATGCTCTCCCTGGCCTACAGTGTCTGCTGTTTCCCTCATGGCTTCCAGATGCTACCACAAGCTGCATTGACACAATCAGGGCTGTGACTTCTACCATCAGGCTTTCACGTTGAATGTAAAACCGTAGCAGCCAGAACTGGGGTACAGTCTGTAATTTGTCAGTAATCTGTACCTGAACTGTGCTTAAAGCTAAGACATGTGGGTGGGCGAGGGATGAGGTAGAGTAGCATGATTACTGTGTTCATATGTGTGTGTGGCAGACTCACAAAGACAACAGGTTGGGTAGGTCCCACGGAGCATCATCAGGAAGTCTCTCCAGCTGGTTGTTTTGTAGCATCCTAAAGAGTAAAAAACAGGTGATTCAGCGGAGACAGGTCTAATGCTAACTCTTCTGCTGTGTGTTGGTTCACATCAAGCAGAACAAATTATTTCATCATAAGGAAAATTTGACACAAAAAGGGAAAGGGCTTGTGAAAGCTTGAAGAGAAGCAGAGGACGAAGGCTAAGGGGGAAAAAGAATGAGAACCTCCTTGGGTGGGCTGGTGATGTCATTCTCAAAAGAATGGAGCTCAAATGAGGGGGAAGTGGGGAGCAAACAATGGCCTTCTCTTTCTTTTCCTTTCCCCACTTTCTGTATCTTTCTCTCTCCATCAGTTTTATCTTGACCTGTTGACTGAATGTGGCTCACAGAGGATGTAAATGCTACCCTGCAGTGTGGTTATGGTTGTACGGTGACATCATGATCTCACAATACCTGTCATTGTGAGGCAGTGAACAGGATCTTTTATCTTTTTTTTTCTTTCTTTCTTTGAAATGAATATCTGCACTTGCAATGATACATAGGTCATAAAAAACCCACGACTATCATTTTTCTTCAAAACTCAAATGAGCGTTGATGCCAGCAGCAACAAAACTCCTATACGTGTTTTTCTACTCATACCAGAGGTGAAAGTACATTTTCTGAAGATAAAAAAATTGTTTGTTCATAAAATATTTGCATTTGTTGCATTGTGCTAACAACAGATGTCTGTAGCCAGTTTTGAAAACATCCTTAGGTAGTGTACTGAGGACGCTTCTACAATCTTACCATATATTAAACATATTTTCTTCCTTTTTACCACATCTCGATCCTCTTAATATGTAGCTGCACATCCCCACAATCGTCCTGGAGCATACGCCTACAATCTCAACAAGCTCTGCCCTGGTACAACTCTGAGATCGTATCAGGATGCAGCCACATTCTAGAGTTTTACACTACTAAAAGAATACTGCTATCAGACGAATGGGTCCCATTGGCAGAACGTTATCAGGGGCAGTTCTGCTTCAACTCCCCAACAGCTGAGTTAAGCTGGTGCAAGGATGCATCACGTTAAGGATACACTACCCCCGCTGCTCCACCCTGGATCTGAATATGCTGTTACACAAAATATAAACCACCACAACCTTAAAGGTGTGGGGAAATCATGTAATCAATACAGTTGCAGTGATCTCTGGTAAGAATGAATGTCTTGCAAACCATACTCTGGGCAAAAAAAGCTTAGAACCACTTGCATCAGCACAGACCAATCTGATGCAATAGAGAGTTTATGTTTATGTTTACGTATTTAGCAGACACTTTTGTCCAAAACGATTTACAAGTTATAATCGGCAAGTTAGCCCCTTGAGGCTAACAACAACAATAACCACTACAACTACAACAAACAATTTCCAGTCAGTCGTAGGTGGCAGTGAGGCAGCAAGATGAATCATGGAGAGGAGGGAACAAGGAGTGGACAGTAGAGAGGGGGGACGGTTGCAGGGAAGGTGCTAGTTTAGAAGATGCTCTCTGAAGAGCAGGGTCTTCAGGAGTTTCTTGAAAGTCGAAAAGGAAGCCCCTGTTCTGATAGTGCTTGGTAGGTCATTCCACATTTGTGGAACGATGCATGAGAAGAGTCTGGATTGTCCTGAGCATGGTGTAGGCACTGCTGGCCAGCGATTCTGTGATGACCGGCGCGGCCGGGCCGAGACGTAAGTCTTTGCAAGAGGATTCAGGTAGATGGGAGCCGTACCATCTCGGACTTTGGAGTTTTATTTCCTGATATTTGGACATTTTGCCTCGGACTGGATAACAGCAACACGACTCTACCACTGAATTGCAACGTGGATGTTTTATCTCCACAAATAACACAAGCCTGGAGGAGTTTTTTTGTGTGGTGGTGTTACTAATGCTAACAATTACCTTCTACTAGTCGGGACGTTGTCCGCTGATTCCTGGACTTTAAAACAAGAACAGCCATCTTTAGTTTTAAAGCACCTCGAACATGTTTTGACTGTGAAAGCTTCTTTTATTTAATACTTTAAAGTACTTCCTCACAATGACTGTCACTGTACTTATTAGGTTCTCTGAGGCCACAGAATTTTTTTCTGATCTTCCAATGCAAAGCATGACTTCTTCCACACGTCATGATTTAAATACTTGTGATTAATACTTTTTGTTTCATTACTATGTTTGTCATGGTGTCTTAAAACTGAGTTTAAGAATTTCTGGTGTGCCTGGTTTTTCTCCAGGTTCCTTCAGATTGTGAACCTCAGAGCACTTGCTACATTTAGTTCTGTGGCATTGATTCTCAAACTTCTCTCAGCCAGAGTCCAAAAGGCGCTGTTCGCCAAGTCTTATGAAAACCTCTTTAAAACCCTTGTCTTGCACCCGTAAGAAATATGACCGCAACTCATTAGATGCCACATGTCAGAAGGTACTATGTGTTTTATTGCTGCTTTGCTCTTTGTATGATTTAATACTCCACGGCCGCTCTAACACTGGTGGCCATGGATAATAAGGCTATGAGCTCCGTAAGAGAAATGGGGTGGTAAGAGAACAGCTTTGAACATTGCAATATTTTTTTTTCTCTTTTATGGACACTCGCTATGGTCTCATTGAGTTTTGTGATTAGGATTGCCCCTAATTACACCTGAAAACTGGTGCGGGCTTGCAAATGAAACTTGTTGGATATTTAAGGATTTCCAAGCAGAGCAGGTTTTCTTCCAACCCATAAACTTTAACTGCAACTAATGATGCACAGCCAGTGTGTTTTATTTAAGGCAGGACATCTCCATGAAGGCTGGAGGAGAAAACTTCATGTAGCACTGGATAAAGCAAGAGGCATTTTAGCAAAGCTCAGTGGAAGAAAAGGGTCACTTACAGAACTTTGAGGTTGTGTAGACCTTGGAGAGCTTGGCCTGAGATATACTTCAGCTGATTCCCTGAGATACGCCTAGAAGAGAAACATGAATTTTAAAAGAGAACAGTATGAAAGAAAAATGAAATATAAGAACTCTGACAAGAACATATAAGTCTCAGAAGATCACTTTTACCGTTTACTTCCCTCAATGTTTTTGGATTAGGTTGTGACATGACTTCATCCCAGAGTTACTGCTTTGGGGTGACTGTTGGGGCAGTATGCAAATACCAATGTTCGATTCCCCTCTGTGTGGTTACTATTGGCCCAAAACCCACCCTGAAACCTTAACCAACCCTGGGAATTTTGAGTGAGTAAAAGTCTTAGAGTGGGTCACCAAGTGCAGTCTAGAAGCATATGTGGATATGCAGATTGGAGCATGTATACAACGTCTGAATATGTGTGCTTATATTCATGTCCTTGAGCTGAAATTAGGCCCAATTCAAGAGGCCTTGAGGACACCATGGGAGAGAAACCACACACGTTCACACAAGCAGTCCAATCAGTTTGTTTATCAGAAACAGCACCTAATGGTCATTTGCGAGTGTGTATAAGATGTCCAAATAAATAACACCAAGTCCAATAGAGTAACTCTCAAGGTCAAAAGCTGGAAACAAAGTTTAAACAGATTTGGTCTTCACAGCCCAAGACCACCCACTTTTATTAAACACACACACACACACACACACACACACACACACACACACACACACACACACACACTCATTAAAGGTTAGTCACGGACACCCTCCCCCAACTCAGACCATTTATTTCTCCACAGGTGACATTTCAGCTGTATGCTAAACAGATTTTCTCTGGCAAAGCTGCACTATTAATTCCAAGATGTTGAAAAATTAATATTGATCACTACTTGCCTTTCCAAGATGCTATCATCCTAGCAGTAAAAGGGCGAGGGGTTCCAGAAAACGCCATCTGATTTTGCATGTCAACACGTTCTATTACAGTGCAAAAGCAAACCACACAACCTCACCCACCCCTGCCAAGTTTCACACCCAGCTCAGCCTAAAATTCTCACAGAGTTTGAGATTTATCAAAGCAAACGTGCACACCAGTATGCTAGGACACAGAGTGGACTGAGTTGATAGTATTTAATACACACCATTGACACTTATCTTTGTCTCTCTATGCTGCTTTTCTGTGAATTAAAGTCACAGTGTGTAGTTTCACATGCGATAGCGGGCAGTAGATACCTAAATCATTGTGAGCAAGCATTACTTTTGTTTTCAATTAAGACCTTACCAACAGATGGCCATTAGGGTCAAAAATCCTTGGGAGTGAAATCTCCAGTAAAATAACACGAACATCAGTCTCCTTTTCATCCCTTGCAATGAGTGAAGAGGTTAATGTGTAAAAGAACAACATTTATTCATGCTGAAAGTTTTGTAACCATTTATTACGAAGCAGTAAATGCATTCTGTCCTCGTGGGCTTCCATAAAAGAAAACATGGCATCCAAGATGCCGTCGCTTAGAGACTTAGACCCGCTTCTGTTTATTTTAGACCCAATTTTTATGGTTATGTCTTCTGAAACAGCCAATATTTTCAACAACTGAGTATCTTTTAATTCATTTACAACAACGTTACAATGGATATTTCCAGAGAAAAATGATAAAAACTACATGTTGTCATTTTTATTTAAAATAAATTCTAGTATCTAGTTCAGTGGTTCCCAAACTTATTTAGCCGCGCACCCCCTTCTATGTCCCGACCATGTCGACGCACCCCCCAGCCCCCACATCAGGGCATGGCTATATACATATATACATATATATATATATATATATATATATATATATATATATATATATATATATATATATATATATCAGACGTCAAGCTAAACAGACAGGGTTAAAAAAAATATGATCGACCTTTTTCCCCATCACTTTCATTTTTTAAATAGTAATTAATAAACATTCGATACCATTACAATTTCCTTTGATTTAATTTGAAATAAATATTTAGAGTGCCCAGGTAGCACATAAAAAATGCAATTTAACAGTTTTCTTAACGTAGGAACGTTTAACATGTGCGGCCAGAGCGCTCTCCTTCCTTCTGCTCTACGAAAACCTGAGCTGGTCACCTACTTGTGCGTAATCAAATGTCTATAGAGGAAAAGATGGAAAATATATAGCCATGAGGTTCACTTTTGCCTCAGGCCGACTTTTTGCTGTTTTATGGTGTGGCTGAATCTGCGATCCGCTGCCACGCGGACTGGAATAACAAATGCTGACATGAGTTGTGGTCGGGTTCAGAGTCACTGGCTGGAGCGGACCCGACTTTAATACGTCATCCCAAAATAGAAGCTAATATCTTAATTTGACCTGGAATGAAAAATGTTATAAAACTTCTTAAAAGTTTTATCACGGAGGAGGCAGCGCTCATTTCTGTCTTCAGTCTGACGGCGCGCCAGAGTTTGCGCAGCGTGTGCGCTTATTGAATCTGTGTGTGTGTGTGTGTGTGTGTGTGTGTGTGTGTGTGGCACAGCTCCATGAGCCGCTCCAGTCACCGCGTCTCGTTATTGGCGCTATTTAAACCAATGTTGTAAAATGACTTCTGCCCAGCCCAGATGTGCTCACTTGTGCACCCGTGAGCCGTGGTTCCGATGGAACGCGTCTGACCTCTGACAGATGCTCTCTGAACTTCAGATCTTCAGCACGCTGTTAATAGCCTGAGTGGGAATCATTCCTTGATTTATTTAGTTACATCCACAATGTTCTGTGTGTGAGGTTTACAATGTCAGAACACCTGCATGAGACAGGTGTTAATTACAATCTGCCAGAATGACTCACCACCTTCAGATTCCTCCAACATCGTTAAAAATGATCAAATACGGAACATATCGGCGTGCGCAGGCCAGAGCGCTGAAGCTCGGCACATTGTTATTATGAAGCTAGGGCACATGCGGAGGACACACACAAACACGCGCAAAAATATACTTGTTTACAATTCCATTTATTGGGCCCACTTACTTTTTCTTTGGCCCACCCACAAATGAGTTTCTGGCTACGCTAATGGTGACATCTGACAGACTTCTCTGAGCTCCGCAGCCATTACACTTTTCACCTCGCGCACCCCCTCGCACACCACACTTTGGAAATCCCTGATCTAGTTTAAACTTTGTTTTGGTGTTTAAGTTTTTACTACTAAAGTATCCATTCATCAGAGGACAGAAGACAACAGCCCACTTTTTAGAAGACACGCCATGCCGGCATATCAGCATAATACTGCCACCAAGCTCAGTAGTAAAATTAGTGCAACTCCGGACTTGTGTAGGAAGATTACACCTTGGCGCAACAGAGGGTGGTGTCACGATCACGTTGGGAGTTACTGCCGAGCTCCGGCCAGCAACCATATTGAAATAAAAGTAAATACTAGCAGAAAGATTTGCTTTTTGAACAGAATCTGCTGAGATTATAAAATGGAGCGATGCAGAGATCCAGGAGCTTCTAGAGCTGAAGATCATATCACCTGATCGTTACAGGGAATGTGACTGGCAGACACCTTTAGGAGCAACTTGGAAAAAACGTAATGAGCGCGGCTTTGACAACTTAAAAGCAACTTATGTCCAAGATAAACGGAAGTCCATGGCAGCATAGAGACTGCCCCATACCCCCTTTATACCGCCATTGCGTAATGTTTTGTAAAATTGCCACATTACAGCCATGGTCTGATCACTCATACAGTAAATGACCTAAAGCTCCCTGATGCCGGCAGCGTTGTTTTTTAAAAAAGGCTAATGAGTTTATTACTGCTTCTGCTCTTACTGTTTCACCAGATGGTTATTAGAGGCTATTTAAATAAGAGTATATCATAAAGGAAATTATTTGCTGAAACACTGGCTGAACAAAGGATATATGTAAATGATTATCCTATTTGTAGGGTGCTGGATGGGAATCGTTATTTTAAATTTTGTTTTCTGTAAAACAAACTTTTAGGCCAACAACGCCAAACAGAACTTTTTTTTCGTCCATAGACTCAAATTCACGAAAGAAAATGTTTCTTTCCCCTTTGATTCTTTTCATTTCTACAAACTCCATTTGTCAAACAAACAAGTATGTGAAAAGTGATGATGGAATATTAAAAAAGCAGAAGGAATGTCCATATGCTCTTGACAGACATGAGCAGAAAGACTTGCACTCACTACTGACCAACTCTTTCCATGATATCAGTGTATCTTCTTGTGTGTGTGCATGTTGTGAATGATTGAACGTATGTGTGAATGTTCCACACTTAGCCTCCTAGTCGTTCCACATCAATCTCATTTTAATGAAAGGCGCCTTGCTCTTGTCAAACCATGGCTCCAAATATTTTTTCTTTTAATTTGATTTGGGGATTTTTCTTGGCACCTGCACTGCTTGGATTGAAGAAATACAAAAATCCACTTCAGCATAGTTCAGTCCTACTGAGATGATTCATAGGTAAAAGAACAGAGGCCAGTGTAGTTCAGACATATGGGAGAAAAATGGCAGTGGTGTTAGGAAGGTGAGACCACCCCGCTATCAGTACTAATCAGTGAGGGGTTTACTGAAGCATACCGACTGCTGATTATCCTATGTATCACCATGTCCCATTGCCTCAGAATAATAAACAAACCGACAGATTAAAGACTTAGAGAATGAGGATAAAGAACAACATCATTTTTTTCCAGAAATAATCTCTCGCAGTGATGGAGGCACAGCAGGGCTTTGGCGGGTGATAGGAGTCGATGATGAAAGAAGACAGGGAGGGTAAACAGGTCTTATCTTTGAGAAGAAGATTTGTGCATGTGTGTCTTTTGTTAGAACTCGCACATATGTGACCTCTGGTAGATGCGGGTCCATCAATGGAAATCTTAATAGTTGAGTGTTTAACCCCTAAGTCCAGGCTCAGGGTCAGCCACTTAACCTGCAGTTAACCTCTGAAATTGTGGGAGTGAAATATAGACCTGAGGAGTGTCTGTTCTATGTGAGGGGCTGCGTGTTTGTGGGAGTGCAGGAGACATGCTGACAAATGATAAAGTTGGCAGCTTTCATA